ATATTCGAATTATATTCGAACATTTATTCGAAATTAGTCGAATATTCGATCAAGTTCGGTTATTCAAGTATTCGTTCATTCGAATTTTGGAATGTGCCAATATTCGAATATTCAAATTCGAATAAATTGAAAATTGAAAGTCGAATATTATTCGCTCATTCGAAGAATTTTCGAAAATCAATTATTCGATATTCATTCGTTCGAAAAAATTTTAAAAATTGATTATTCGATATTCGTTCATTCGGCGAAAATTTTTGTTCGTTACAACTATAGTGCCGTTCGATAAAAGATTCCAGTAAGTGCCGTTCGATAGTGCTCTTCTAGTACATTATAGTGCGCTAGAAAGCTGCCGCAGACTTCTTTCCAAAAGAGAAAGAGGCGTTGGTAAATTCTGGAAAAATCACTCGTTTCCAGATTCTACTCGCCGTAACTTTCTTTGGAGTGGAAATTTTCTGAATCCGAAACAAGCATTGTGCTCAGCTCATCAAGGCGAATCTTTCGGTCTGTAGAATATCCTTGATATCTCGATTTCAGTATTCTTGAAACTTTCTGCGGATGTCTTTTCGCAAAGGTGTCAGCGCGTATTGCCCCCAGTAGATTCAGAAAGTAATTTTCGATAGTAATTCTTCTGTAGATTATGGGGCGCTAAGAATTACCCGCACACTTTTTTCCAAAGGAGATAGAAGGGCTGGTGAATTGTGGAAAAATCTTGTCATCCCAAATTCTACTCGCTATAGCCGCAGGATACGAAGCTATCTTGCTGAGTAAATGTGAGTTTCGAAATCAGCAGGTCGGATAACCCTTATGAGCAAGTTTTCCGAGATGTTCGGGTAATTTCATTTTTTCTCGTTTTACGCTCCGGAAGCTCGCCGATGGATTTTGGTCAAAATGTTGATGCTCTTGAATTGTAAGGAAACTTTGCTTAAGAGGCTTTCGTACACGCTGTTTACGAAAATCGTGGTCTTTGAGGACTACAGGGTCTTTTTGAGAGATCTTTTTGTGAGGGGATGTAACTGAATCACGAAGGTGCGTAACTTTGCCCGCACTTCTCGCGTATCTGTCAGCAAACTTGCCCGCTTGCTTTTCTCGGGCAAAGTTACTAGGAACTGTGCCATCGAATGGTGCAAGCCTCAGACTCCACTCTACAGAAATCGCCGAGTTACGAGCCCACGAAAACACATCCTCATGAATTTTGCCCAAAATGTAAAGATCGCATATTTCGTCGAAATTCCACCGTGAGTGCTTATGCAACACGTTGATCAAATCTTTTCACATCGTTAATGGATCTCATTATGTTAGATTTGGTAGTTTGAGTTCTACCCACCGAAATAGCTTTGATATTCAACTGAGCAGCTGAAGTACACGCAAGCACCATATTCAATACAGTGAAAGTCTTTGGACGAAGCGAACACATATCCGCAATGCGAGTGTCATACAAGCACTCACGGTGGAATTTCGACGAAATATGCGATCTTTACATTTTGGGCAAAATTCATGAGGATGTGTTTTCGTAGGCTCGTAACTCGGCGATTTCTGTGGAGTGGAGTCTGAGGCTTGCACCATTCGATGGCACAGTTCCCAGTGAATTTAACCTCTAGACGCAAGCGGGCAAGTTCTCTGACAGATACGCGAGAAGTGCGGGCAAAGTTACGCACTTTCGTGACACCGTTACGGTTACCTCATCATATCTATGCAGAAAGACCATGTATTACTAATAGACCACGATTGTCGTAAACAGTGTGTCCGATAACCTCTATAAGCGAAGTTTCCTTACAAGTTAAAAGCATGAACATTTTGGTCAAATCCATCGGCCAGCTTCAGAGCATAAAACGAGAAAAAATGAAATTACCCGAACATCTCGGAAAACTTGCTCATAAGGGTTATCCCACCTACTGATTACGAAAATCACATCTGCTTAGCAAGAGAGCTTCATATTTTGAAGTTACGGTGAGAAAAATTTAGAACGACATGGTTTTTCCAGAATTCACCAGCCCTTCTATCTCCTTTGGAAAAAAGTGTGCGGTTAATTCTTAGCGCCCCATAATCTACAGAAGAATTACTATCGAAAATTTCTTTCTGAATCTACTGGGGGCAATACGCGCTGACACTCAGAAAGAGGGCCTCCTTTTGCGCGCATGTTTTGCGGCTAAAGCATGTGTGTTGGTTTCGCAACAATTTGCTTCATTTTTTGTCGTCTGCGCATCAAAATAATGTCAGAATTCTACCAAAAGTTCCAAAGGCATTCCGTCTCTTTCTGACGCTTTCGGCTTTTTCGGCGCTTTTGCGCTTTTTTCGGTAAAGTATGACTGGTACATTACATTGAGCTTCCAAGTCGCTGATTCTAAATATGAAATTTGCTCTCCACTGTAATGCTTCTTTCATAAGCTACATTTAGAGTGATAACTGTTTTCCAGTGTTCGTCAGATTAGCTCGAAAAACTGGTAAGAAGTCGTAGAGTGAAATCAGCACGCCTGAAACCTTACAGCACAATTTTTCAGAACTTCTGAAACAAAAGTTGTTAGACGACCTATTTCGCAGTGATTCTATATGCTGGAAGTTTCTACCGTAATCCTACAGTAGTGAAGAGCGCTCGATGTGCCGCTTCTTACTGCTAACATAAGTTGGATCACGCTCTACAGAATGGTAGCTAGAGAGCGGCAAAATACATCAAACCAAAAGAGTTATTAGAGACCAAGCAGCGTGCACATTATTCTGAGACACCTTTATGTATCTTTTTGAGGGGCCATGCTAAATTAGGTGCCTTCGTTTTTTACAAGGAAAGGAAGTTCAGTTGAAGTGGCCTTCCAATATGAGATGCATACTGCCTTGGAAAGTATAAAACACTGATTCCAAATCCAAGCTTCCTATCTGCTGTGGATTTCTGAGCAAGAGGTTGTGAAGGTCTTTATGGGCAAACATTTCAATGTATGATTAGTGTAAAATCAGCCCCCAACTTTCCTTGGCGTTCAAATAAGGTAGCGTTAGGTGGGTCTTTTTGAATTAAGGATATTTATTGCAAAAGATACTCCACAATCATTCAAACCCTAGAAAAAAAATGTTATGATTGATTTTTCCTTAGCTGCACTTGCAAATTTCCGCTCATAAAATCTTCACAACTCATCGCTCAGGAATGCGCAGCAGGTAACGAAGGTGGATTTGGAATCAGCGTTTCATACCCTTTGAGGTAGTATCCATTTCGTGTCAAAAGGCCACTTTAAACTTCCTTCCCTTGTTAGCACAGCAATATTGCTCTTTGCAAAACCGAATAACAACAGTCGATTTCATATAAGCTGATTCCAGAATCGTTGCATGAGTAATATGAAGACGAATGGGACAGTCCACTGAGCAACAGACTTCAAAATGTGCTCTTGCAGCTAGTCGAGTGACTCGTGCTCAGAGGCTTCGAAGCACGATTGGTTCATTGGATTTAAACGTGATCAGTATTCATTCATGAAACAAGCGCTGTAATCCAAGAATCCTACCTACAAAAAGTCACAGTTTCATGCAAATTTGAAGAGCTTTGAAATAGTTATCTTCCAACTTCATTACTAGTTGTATTCATGTCAGGGCCCAGCACGAGGTGGCATTTGAGAATCTTGGAAACGAGGCCCTTTTTGACATTGCAGCAATTTACGAATAACCTTTTGTGGTTTTTTAAGTACAGCTTATAATGTGCAGCGAAGTGTGAGTGGATAAAAGCAAAGAAAAAATTGGGAAGGTTGGAGATAAAACATAAAAAGGCGAGGTTTTTCACAAATTAAGGCCATAGCAAAACAGAGGATGAAACTTAGGTCAACATGAGTGTGTATAGGTAGTTGAACTAAAAAAAAGATTTATGTAAAAAAATTTGAAAAAATGTGTGAGGAAGGGAACTTTATTTGGTCCCGAGCAACCTCAGGGTGCTCTCAGGTTGCCCGTGAGCAACCTAAATTGAAAAAACACTTACAACTCCTTTCCTACACATAATTTTTTCATAATTTTTCACACATTTGTTTTGGCCATCGTCGCAAAGCTATATACCAAATTTGATGGCTCAATATCGAATAGCCTTAATAAGCAAGCCGATTATTTATTTTTTGTGCATGAAGATCATGTCTTAACACGTTGGGACCGTATGCAGAAAAGTTTAGCACGAATCGTGTTTGCAAAGTATTAATTTACTTGTTACTGGTAAATTGATGGTTAAGGATTGTGCTTGCCATTATTTTGTCAGATCCGGGAGACACCCCTGACAACTTTACTAGATATCCAGCGTGAAAGCGCCACCTCTGCTGAGCCCTGGTTCGTGTTTGATTGGCAGGATATAACCAATTTTTTGAAGTTTGCTTGATTTGCTTTTTTGAATATTTGACATCTCAGAATACGAAGATTCATGTACTGTGCAGGAAAAGATTAATGCAAGATTGTGGAAGGTGCATGTTTTACGTAGAAACAATCGTACAAAATCTATGGATACGGATCAAATCGGATGTTTTTTCCTCTATTCTTGAAAAAAAAACTTCACTTGATTCCAAATCTTTCATCTTTGCTTCTGGATCAGAAAAATACTGGTTAGAAGTTATCATTGGTGAACTTCGTAGATCGGAGCAGTCAAACACAAACGTTTGAATTTTCTGTTTCCGATTGCGTGACAATTTTATGCGGAAGGTAGCAATTCTTAGTGTTACCGATAAAATGAGCTACCTTGCTTTTATGTGTTAAAAAGAAAATTCTTTGGAAATTGAGCTAAAATGGGAGTTTAGTTGGTTTAAAGTCGAATATGTAGTTGCTGATATTTCCTACTCCAGAATTGTTTACGCGATACAACAAATCGCAGCTACTATCAATAGCTATAAGGTACAATTTCTATTTGTTTGTATTGGCTTACTCAGTGAGTTAATGTCGCAATCTCGCATCCATAGCGATTTAGAATCAAACACAATGTCCCTATCATAGTGTGGATAAAGCATAATCATCATTTTCAAGCATCTCCCTTTGTCCTTTTGCACTGATCACAGGTCATGAAAGGTATGCTGAACAAATTTGATAAACACTGTAACTTGAGCGAACCTCAGTCACTTTAGCATTCTAGATAAGCAAAGATATAAACAAGTGAAACTCAGTCAAAAAGTTTCAAATTTAGAGAATAGTTGACTACACTAACCAATCTTGATGTAGTGTGTCTCTAACTGCTTCAACTACAATAGATATAAGCAGGATGTAAATAATTGAGCTGTGTATTTCAATTGTAATCTGATACCTTCTAAACGAACAAACTTTGCACTAAGACAATAGTCCATTTCAAGAACCGAAAGGTAGGCATCTGAGACAACCAAGGCCGCTTTTCATGACGTGTTGGGTATAATCACGCAAATCCCAAAGAAGCAGTCTCCAAAAATGATTGAATTGGGCATTTGATAGATGAAAAATTGGCGTAAGCAGACTAGTGTCAAATGAATTTCGTTTCGCATTGTAATCATATGCGTACAATTCTCCATTCTGAGAAAGACGATAAGGTGAAAACACGACAGCGAAACTTGATCCAGGAAAAGCAGACTTGTTCAAAGGAAATAGGAGCTGTGCGCATGCGATACCAAAGGTTTGCCCTTGCACTATCAAAAAATGTCATAACTTTGTAGAAATAGTTTTGTTGTTGTTATAAAGAAGATGCTCGAGCAGTCACACACATTTTAGAATTTATTTCCAACGAAACTTGAATTTATAGCAAATCTCACAAAAAAAACAGATGAGCTTTATTCGATACAACTGTTACAACTATGCGTAGGCAGTTGATCCCAACAGTAAACGCTTTGATCAACACCGAGAACTGTAGAATTTCAAATACTTGTTTTATTTTCATTCCGATTCCAAAACTATCAAACGTTGAATAAACCGAGGATTGCTTTGAGGATATTCAGAATTTTTTTCGATGACATTTACTAATAATGATGGTATCCAAGGGAACGACTTTTGATTGAAAAATCTACGAACTTTGAGCGATCTGTAGTGATCGTCATATTCAAGAAGTGTGTGGTACCTTCAGCTTCAACCTGCGAAGCTATGACACAATTCACAACAGCCAAAAATGCTTAGACAATCGCAAATGACTTCCGGGGCAACTGTACTTCTGAAACTTCCGGGGGACACCCCCTATTGGAGCTGCCAGGTAGGCGGGGCCCGGTAGGGCGGGGCCCACCCATACGGCCCAATAGGAGCATCTCTGCGGAAGTTTGAAAAGTTCAGCTTCCCCCGGAAGTCATTTGCGATTGTCTGGGTACGAATTCGGTAATCTTAGTTTTACGAAATAAGGGAGCGGAACACATTCGAAAGGACACAAATTGTCGCAGAAACATCAAATTCCTGTACTTTTGCAGAATTTGAAAAACGCTCAAAAGAATAGATAGGTGAAGTTTTTTCAAAGAGTAATCTAACATTTATTCATGTCACATAGAAGATGCTAAAATTTCTCACTGCTTTGAAAGTGAATTTTTGAACTGTGGAAGCAACAGAAAACTTTCAATGCAGAAGGCGATAAAGCTCATTGCTGAGCAGCTATCATTTTCCTGTGTTTGTGCTTTTGCGAGAAGGAGTGGAAGATACACCGTAGGGTAGGTGCAAAATTAAGACGTGTTAGAAACGTTAGAGGCAACGTCCACGCAAAATTTCTACTCCCATGTACTTATTGTTGTCGGATATACCCTGACTTCGGATATCAAATATCAGGTGCAAATTATGCGAAATCCCCAGATATGCCCATTTCGACGCCCTAATTTGGAAGACGTGAACGATCCGGCACTAACACGTCCTAGGCAACAAGAAGCCTCATCGAATGCCAGCACTACCAAATTACCAGACGCCATTTAGCCGCCACGTCAACACACATGTCATATAAGAACAACAGAAAATTTTGGAAGAACCATCTAAAGCCCCTAAGGCCGTGGGCATACCTTACGCGACTTCAGTCGCAACGTGACTTGGCAATGCTCCAGCTGCTTATAACTCGTCGCAAACTTAACTAGAGCACAGGTAAATAGCACTTTCATCAACTCAAAAAAGTTGAATACACCATGTATTTGTGGTTTTTCAGTGTTGGGTTTGAAAAGGTCTGGCCAGTTTCCAAATCGACTGAAAAGTCGATTCGGAGTCAGTCAGAAAAGTCAAAGTCGTGACGACTGAAATCGCGAGAGGTATGAACAGGACATAACATTCCACACGCGACTTAAAGGCAGCGTCCGGGCAAAATTTCGCCTCTCATGTTTCTGCCGTTCTGGGGCCTTCCCGTGGCCCTGATTACAGTTGTAAAGTCCAAATTGTTCAACACCCTCTAAAAACCCGATTCTTGGGGACCCTCTCTTCAAGAAGCGGACGAGTTTCGGATTGCTCGTCCCCATCGCATGCCAGCGGGAGGAGCTGCAACTGCACGGATGCCGTTGCATTGCAGTTGCAATGCAACTGCAATGCAACCGCACACCTGCGTGAGCACTCGTCCTCAGCGGTGGTTTGTGATACGAAGGCACAGTTTGTGATACGTATCACAGGCCCGTATCTCCTTTTAGAGGCCACTTCAAAGATTCGGACCAACGCAGATCGGATACTCATGGGCCCCTCTTTACAACTATGTGCTAACCTGGGTGGATGGATCTTGCCCGGACGCTGCCTTTAAAGGCAGTGTCCGGGCAAAAGTCGATTTTGAGATTTTGTGCTTACCCGGGTCTATTCACTATGCTGAATCCGAAAATCCACATTGAAAAGCGCGAAAACGGCGAAAAAGGGCTCTAACGCAGGAGGGAAATCAGAAGTGGGCGAGGTCTTCCCCGCCCACTTCTGATTTCCCTCCTGCGTTAGAGCCCTTTTTCCCCGGACACTGCCTTTAAAGGCAGTCCGGGGAAAAACTCGATCTTGAGGTTTTGTGCTTACCCGGGCCTATTCGCTACGCTGAATCCGAAAATGCACATTGGAGGGCGCGAAAACGGCGAAAAATGGCTCTAACACGGGAGGGAAATCAGCAAGTGGGCGGGGTCCTCCCCATTGTGAATTCACGCTCCCAGCTTCCAGAGCGATCTTCTCGGTTCCGATTTCAAGTCATGCATTCGCACCTGGCCGGTGGAGATCTCAGGGTGCTAGAGGAATTGGGAAGATCGCTCCAGAAGCTGGGACTGCGAAATTCACAGTGGGGAGGACCCCGCCCACTTCCGATTTCCCTCCTGCGTTAGAGCCCTTTTTTGCCGTTTTCGCGCTTTCCAATGTGGATTTTCGGATTCAGCATAGTGAATAGGCTCGGGTAAGCACAAAATCTCAAAATCGACTTTTTGCCCGGACACTGCCTTTAACACAATACAATATCATACAGGTAGGGTGGGGCTCTCACATGGATAGTAATTTTGGGGCTCTAACTGAGCCACTGCCCAACCGGCAGCTCAGGTTAGTGCACTAACGGCTGAGATATTTGCCTCGAAACTGGCCCTCGGGATCGTATTTCGCATGGATTCATGGCGCAACCCAACAATTTCATGCGGCGACCCATGGGTTGCGCCAAGAATCCATGCGAAATACGATCCCGAGGTCCAGTTTCGACGCGAACATCTTAGCCTTTAGAGCACTAACTGAGCTGCTGCTTGGGCAGTGTGGCTTAGGTAGGGCCCCAAGATTACGATCCATGTGAGAGCCCCATATGTCCAGATTTGCCTGGACGCTGCCTCCAAAATAATTAGAACCTCTTGCCTCGCCTAACTGCTTTCACATCGCCCATATACTTGGCCTGCTATCACAGTTACCATTGGCTCCGACTGTATTCAACTCCGATGGGAATGAAGGCGCGAGATATCCGATTTACCGCAGAGGTAACGCATTAACTCATCATTAGGAATCGCTCTCGGGTCGCCTCGTTGGACCACTGACATTATTTAGTGGATGTTCAGGCAGGACCTTAAACAACGTTTATATCGGTTGTCAGGAAATGATGGCCTAGCATCTCACAAAGAGAATTACACCTCTATTGAATCGAAAATGTTGGACGCATGGAACTTCTGACGTCTAACCACCTCCATCTCAAAATTCGCTTTCCATGTTCTCTGTTCAACGTCTCCTTTGCTTTCAGCGAGGACACCCATTCCCGAAAGTCGTAAGGACACAGTGTTCGCATTTGCAGACTTCGTAATAGTGACGGCTTTCTGGAAACAACACCCAGCATTTGACTGGAAGCGCATTATCTCATTTCGATCGTAAGTCGTTTGTATGTGCTCTATGAAATTAGTTGTTTCAGCATTGCTACTCCAGTTTTTATACTTCGTTTGTCCGCTTCCAAACTATCAGTTCTGCAGGCAATAAAAACACCGAGAGAGGTGGATGGTCAATTGCCAGAATAACCGAGGTTGGAACTTGTGCTGAGAAGCTGCTCGGGGATTTCTTCTAGAAGGGAAAATTCATGTATGAGTGCAAAGTTGATTCTGCAGGGAAGCGTCGCCGCTCCGAAACTGTGCTTGAACGTACAACCCTGTGCAAGCGGTGGTTCAGATTAATTCAGGAAGATTTATTAACAAGATATAAACAATAGATGCTCTTTTTACCCGAGCAGGGTGCAAGATGTGAGTAACAATCAACGAATGACCCCTTATCACATTTCGCCCCTGCATTTGTAGCAGGGGTGAGTGAATAACAAATTGCGCAACAAGGGTAGGTCGCCTTGGAGGCGACCGAAAACAAACTATGCAAACGAAGAAGAGGTCGCTTGTAGCGACGAAAACAATTGCGTAACTAGGAGAAGTCGCCATGTCGGCGACACTCCCCGGGCCGACAGGAAAATTCGAATATATGAGATACAACATATCGAATGCAACAAACAATTATTATGGATGAACAGCTTTACAACAACAAAACGTCATGGGGAAATGGTGATGCCTTGAGATCCTTTTCGTATTCGAATGAGTAATGCTATCGTAGTGGCGAACATCTTCCATATGCATGTCGCTAGTGCCCATATGAATTTGCAAGCTGCTGCGAGAATGATCCAGAGGGTTTTGATTAGGAATAGCAGCGCGGTAGGTCCACAGAAGTAAGTTATGGCTGCTGCTATAGATACAGCTCCAATTGCCGCAACTGCCAGTTTCCATTCCTTTTTCAAGATGATGAGGAGTGGTTTAGTGTCCGGGAAATGTACTTCACTCCATGTGTTCATCCAGCTTCTTGTGTCTGGTTTTACTTCGAACACAGAACTGTGTAGATGTCTGGCGTGGTAATGTAGTGTGCCTTGTAGATCTACATCAATTGTTTTGAGCGCGCATGTTGCGTAGCATTTTTGTGCTATTAACGCTCCATTAAAATGCAGTATATTCCTGCTGGTTTTGTTTGAGTGGTCGCAGTCGATTGTAAATGAGTGATCGCTGCAACGAACTGTTATGGCTGATGGTGAGAATGTCTTGCAGTGGCTTATTAGTTCAGCGCCAGTTTGACATTCGTAACAGCCAGTGATGGGTTCAACGGTGATTGAACAAGGTGAAGCCATCGTGTATTGAGTGACATCGATCATAAGTTTAGATTGGATTGTAAGTGTAAGTTCGCCGTCGTAGGTTTTCACAAATATACCATCGTCAATCTTCGAGATGTTTAGGTTAGCCGTATTGATTGGCAACGTATTGGCTGTATCCTGCCGCACATCGCTTATCGATTTAGTCGAGCAACGACAATTTCGTGGAGCTTTGAATGTCGCACAAGCGCAGATCATGCGATTTGCGCATTTTTCGAAACTGTCGACTGCCTGCTGACGTGTTTCGCATTCTACCGGTAGCTCGTAGCCGTTGGGTATCATAAGAGCTTCATTCTGAGCTATTGCGAATCGTCTATCCATCAACATTGAGTGTGGTTTGTTGAGGGAAACTATAGTGAGAGTTATTTTTTCGAGCGAAAGCGGTAGATATGGCTCTAAATGCACAGTCTCTCTCACCGCTGTGCCTCCGATTGTCATATCGAGCTCAAAGCTGATTTGTGGAGTCCACTCCACGCAACTAATCACATCGTAAATTTCGTGATTGTTAGGAATGTGTGCTACACGAATGAAGGAACATGCTGGTGTGACTAGCAGGCAACCGCATAGTATTCCTCCACAAGTGTGCTCGCAGGCGGAATATCCTGGATATATCGAAGCAAAGGCTAACTCGGGAATCGTTTCGTTGTGCATAATGGTGTTGCACTTGTTGTCGAAACATGATCCTGCTTCGTCACACCTAGTAGTGTGGAATATGCTATGCGAAGTGTCTCGCGTAAAGAAATGAGAAAGCTTGGAGCATTTCATGTTCATTTCTTTTTTCGTGATCTTGATCGTACCTACAGTTTCATTTGCATGCCGCACGCTAATGCAAAGTTTCTTTTGCAGGCGATTAAAGAGTATCTCTTCATTGTACTCATAGGAACAGTTGCCTTGATCTTGACAAATTACTTCAACCGTGTGTCTCATGAATCCATGTTGACACGATGCCGTTGTGCTAATTGTTGATAGCAAAGTTAGGGCGATCACGATTGTGTTCGAGATGCTCAGTGGTTTCGGGTTGAAATTGTCGAGGACAATGTTCCTTTCAGGGCTGGTCGGCAGTGTATGCGCCCGTTTGAGACAGTATCTCAGTGACCATATGGCGAACAGTAACATTGCTATGGTTACATAGACCAATAACGCTATGGTGATTATTACTCCCATTGGCCAGCAGTGAGGGTTGCCCAACAAAGACTTTGTCATGATGGTTTGAGAATGGTCACAATATGTATGCGATTCACATAGCTGAGTGACGGAGAGATTCTGGGTTGTCAGGTTGACCCGATAATGGTTTTTGTCTCTTGCTGGAGGGATATTGATTGACATGCCTTCCGTGGAATTATCAAATTCCTTGCATATTTTGTTCACACAGAGCTTGAAGGGCTCTTTGAGCTCTCGCACAGTGAACAGTCCTTCTCCACACTCTATGAGGTTCTCTGATAAGGCTTCTACTCCAGTATAGGCACTGAGTAAGCAGACAAGACTTATCATTGTCATGACCCGAGAGGTGTGAGTAGAAGATGTGCTTTGTAAACTTCTCTCAAAGTTTTGAATTACTTCGTATGCGCGAGTCTTAGATTCTCGAGGTGGATTCCGTCTGCTGGAATGACCTCGCGACTGAGCTGCCGTATCGCGATGCATGGTTTCGTGACTTGTGGAATTCGCATCATGCTGTGCTAGTGGTTCTACAGCGATATCCTGACTGCTTGCCTCATTAGCGCTTCTGATTTCCAGAGGGAACAGTTTATTGAGTGGCCTTTGCAAAATATTGTGATTTGGCGTAAGGATTTTAGCCGACCTTATCAAGCCATCAGCACTTTTTACCAGCTCTGTTATTTTTCCGTAGGCCCAGTTGCCCCGTGGAATCAACTCTTGTTCGATGAGCACAATTTCGCCGATTTGTGGATGGTTGGGCGTGTGCCGTGGTTGATTTAAGTGCCTTTTTTGGCTTTCGCGTAGAACTGTCAAATACTCTACGTTCCAACGGTCCCAGAATTTAGCTGCAGTAGTTTCTGAGTATCCCATAGCTTCGTGCGCTTGCAAAGCGGTTTGGATAAGCTCAGGATCATAATCGGGATCACTTGCTATGACGGTGGATTGCGGGAGCGCATACTTTACATTACCCTGTAGAAAATCTATAGGTCGTAAGGGTATCTCAGTGATATCACTCGAGCTAAGTTTTGTCAATGGGCGAGTGTTTATAATGGCTTCAATTCTTGCCATAACGGTGCTCAACTCTGTGAATGAGAGTTTACGGCGGCCAACAGCTTTTATAAAACTGCGTTTGACTGAGCCGACTAACCGTTCCCAGACACCACCCATCCATGGTGCTCCTGGTGGATTGAATATCCAGGTTATTCCTTCTGTGGCACTATAATTCATCACAGAATTCTCGCTTTGATCGTCTTTCTCGAATAATTTTTCGATGACTTTCTGACCGAGCTTAAAATTAGTACCACAGTCTGTTCTCACAAGTTGTGGTACGCCTCGTCGAGAGACAAACCGCACGAAGCTGTTTAAGAAAGCACCTGTTGATAGGCTCTCTACAGCTTCCAAATGTACTGCTCTTGTCGTTAGACAAGTGTATAAGCAAACGTACATTTTTTCGTTATCGTGCGAATCGATAGGTCCAAAGAAGTCGCAGCCAATTTTTTGGAACGGTTTGGTAATTCGGACTCTATCTTTGGGTAGTGATGGCATTTCTGGAGCGCCGAAAGGCAGCCCATGACATCTTTTGCACGTGCTACAGCTTCTGAGATACTTTTTTACTGCTTTCATAGGTTGAGGTATCCAGTATCGCTGTCGTGCTAGCGCTAAAATGTGATCGTTTCCACAATGCGCGTTCTTTTGGTGTATGTTTACCAAAATCAATCGAGTCAGTTCTGACGGATTGGGAAGGAATATTGGCGATTTGGTGTCGTAAGGTAATATCGCATTCTGTAAGCGGGACTCGTGGCGTATTATACCAAACTCGTCTTTGATCACCTTCACATTGCGGAAGCGCTTTTGCAATTCTTCTATAGATATAGAATGATGTACTGAAGCAATGAGCAGTCTCTCGCTCAGTTTTATATCTTCAGCTGTTATGTGCTGTTCTGAGTCAAAGTTCTTGAGAATATCGAACTTGTCAGTGTTGAAATTGCACTTCAGTAGCCATCTTTTGGATATTTTGCCAACTATGGCCACTGTCCTCAGTAACTTGTTGTATTTAGAGAAGCGTTTCAGGTCAATGAATGGCTGCGCTTCATCTTTGTTGGTAGGTTGTGCTACTGTAGGATGCGCCTGAACCTCTTCGTCATCGCTTGGGTCGTACTCGGCATTAGCCTCAGTAATCACGCGTAATGACCAATTTTGAGGGTTCTGCGCTAGCCACTGTGGGCCTTTTATCCAAGCGTGGTTGCTCATTGCAGACGACGTCAACCCACGAGTTCCAGCATCTGCTGGGTTATCGTTTGTAGAGACATGGTAGAAGTGCACCTGTTTATTTTCGCATTCGAAATGATGCTTCAACCTTAGGATGCGGTCTCTTTGACTTGCGACAAAGGGTGGCAGTTTCCTCATGCTTGGAATCCAGGCGAGAGCGATTTCGCTGTCGTTAGCTATTTTTATATCCTCGATAGCGTCACCAATGGCATTCACAATGCTCTTTGCTAATCTGGTAGCTATGAGTATGCTAAGTAGCTCTAGTCGCGGTATTGTTTGCACCATTTTCTTTGGTGTGAGACGGGTTTTACCGCTTATAAGTTGGGAAACCTTTTTTGTCTCAATGCACTGCAAGTATGCGCAGGACGCGATAGCAATTTTGCTAGCGTCTGAGAAGACCCATAGGGTGTATCGACGCTTAGTAGGGGCGGGCAGATTACGCCGCAGAATCAGGTTGCAGCCATTTATCTGCTGACATTCTTCATACCATTTTGAAGCTAGCTCGCTGGGAATGGCTTCTTTCCAATCTACTCCCGTGCTATAGATTTCTCGCATGAGGGACTTTAGTTTCACTAAGAGTGGTCCCGCAATGCCAATCGGATCATATACTGAGTTTATTTGGCTGACAATGTCACGTTTCGTAAGCCTTTCTTTGGACTGAATGTCTACGTTCAGAGTGTAGAAGTCCTCCTCAGTGTCGTAGTTTACTCCCAGAAACTTTATCACCTTGCCGTGTAGACGGTCTTTTTCTGGGATGGCTTGGTTGACAAGCGGCGAGTTTGAAATGTACTCGCGTAAGTTCATGCCTATCTCGGCAAATAGCGCTTTTGATTCACGGTATTTTGTCAACGCTTCTTGAACGGAATCAGCCTTCAAAAGGATATTATCCACGTAGAGATGAGATGCGATTTCTCTGGCTAGTGGTGTATTTTTCCAGTCTAGAAAGGCGAGAATCACCATGTTCAAGATACTCGGAGAAGCTGTCAGCCCAAAGGGGAGCCTCGTGAACCGGTATTCGACAATATTATCTTTTGTGGGCGCTTTATCTGCGTTTTTCAACCACAAGAATCTACACAAGTCTTTGTGAGCGTGGTGTAGTCGAATTTGCGTGAATGCGGCTTCAATGTCGCATAGCAAGATGATTTGATTCAATCGACTAGACGTTAGTACATCGTGAATTTTATTAACGAAAGACTCGCCGGTATAAACCACGTCGTTGAGCGAAAAATGTGCTTTTCGCTTGGAGGATGCGTCAAATACTATACGTAAAGGTACAGCTTTGCTTGGACGCCAAACTCCTGAATGAGGCATATAATAGGTGCCGGCTTTGTCAGGTATGTTATCTTGGGCTACCTCTATCACTTTCTCTTGTATGTATTTGTCGAGAACGATTTTGTACCAACTCCGTTGGTTTTCATTGTTTTGCAGAAGCTGCCAAAGTGCCATCAGTCTTCTGTACGCCACTGCATAGTTATCGCTAAGATCGACTATGCTGTCTTTGAGTGGCAGAGGAGCAGTCACAACACCATTTTGAAACGATAGTTTCTTTGAGTAGGTTTGGAAGTATGTGAATATGCTCTCATCTTTTTGTATCTCTTCCGAGGAGATCCCAAGCCCTTCTAGTTCATACATTTTTTGAAGGATTTCTGACTCTTTCGCTTCATTTATGAGAGTCAGTTGGTGGATCGCAGTGTTGGCGATTGTGAGTGACGGTGGGATCGTTCCTTTTCCGTGTATACTTGGACCGAACACTGTTTTCGTTACATGCAGTCCCGACGGCATTTGTTCTGCAACCGTATTCGGGGGCACCATCTCATAATAATAATCTATTCCGACGAGAATCTGCGGGTTTTGTAGTTCACCGCGCATTCGTGGGTTGCATATAAACATTTCTTTGGCTTGCAAGAAATTTTTGTCGTCATCGGACAGTCGAACAGACGAGAATCCATTGGTTATTACCGGTTTTGTCTGCACGGTAAGTAGGATCTCTTTGCCAAAAGCGGTGCACACCTTAAGTGAGACAACCTTGCTTTGGAACTGTTCCGTATGGCCACCTATTCCCGACATTGTACAGAGTTCCGTGTGCTGTGTGGGCAGGCCAAAATCTTCTGCGGTGCTTTCTTTTATCAATGTCTTTTGTGCACCAGTATCGAAGAAGAATAGTACCTTCTCAAACTGACTGGTTCTGTGATTCCACAGATTGCCTTCCGCAGTCATGAGCACTATTTGCTCCCTGTTTCTGACCGCTTGTGGGTCTAGCAGGTCATATTTCGTGTCTACACACGTATTGTTGACGACTTGTCTCTGATTTACCCTATCTGGGGCTTCGCGAACATGGTTGTTACGCCATTGAGGTCTATTGCTATTGCCTCTTGCGTCTTGTCTCTCAGTGCGATAGGCTGGCCTTTGATGGCTTGTGTAGCGGTTGTTCGCTGTCTGAGTAGAATTTTGCTCATTCAAATAGGGAGCGTTGGGGGACGGGCATAAGGAAATATCATGCAATCGTCCACATCGAGAACAGTTGGGTTTTGTACAACCACCAGCACTGTGCTCACCGGAGAAACATTTCCAGCATAGATTCTCCTCTTTGACAACATTTCGCCTAGCGAAAGTGTCAGTCACAGTTCTGCAATTCGTTGATGTATGATTGGTCATCTTGCAGAATACACACGATTTGCTAAATCGTGGCATACGTTCATTATACGTATTATCTGAACGTTTCCGTGGTTGTTCGCCTTTTGTGAAATTTTTCAAGCGCGAATCCACATATTTTTTGGCTTCAATCTGCTTCTCTAGAGCCTCCATTATATCATCAATTGTGATCTCTTGCAGCTCTTGTGTGGACATAAGCACGTTTTTCACGATGCTGTATGGAAATTTTTCCAAAATTTTCTCTGTCCAGAGGGCGTCCTGCATTTTGCGGATGTCTTGCCCAGCAGAAACCATTTGGTTGATCAACATACGTATCTTGTCGTACGTATCTGAGCAACTTTCAGCAGTGTTTGCGGCTGTTCGCATGTCGGCTAGTTTTTGCACAACTTTTGCTCTATTTATAGGCCTGTTGCCATATTTTTTCTTCAGTGTTTCAACCATCCAATGGTAATTTTTCGGCACTAGCTGTATTCCTTTCACAGCGATTTCTGCCTTTCCTTTGAGACTGTCCCTTAAGAACATCATTTTCTCAGTTGTGCTCAGGACTTTGTTCTCATGTACCAAGGTACTGAAGATTGCCCAAAATTCTGGGAACTCCTCTTCATCGCCGTAGAATCTCGGCACCTTGAGTTGTTTTGGCTTTAGAGTTCGACATATCAGGTCCTCTGACTCTGCGACACTATTTACTAATAGGTCTTCAGATAGCCATTCAGTTGCATTGGGAGAAAATTCTCTTTCCTCTCCGCTGCTTACACCTTTCATTGCTATTTCGCTAGGCGTGGACACCGTTTCGGTGTTTACTGGCATGTCCAGTTTTCTCGCTATTCTCTTTACTTTTGAGCGAGTCTCATTCAGTCGCGCTTCTAGCACGTACAGCGTGTCATTGGCTGCAGCGATTTTTTCACTGAATTGAGTTTCTTTTTCAATGTCCTCGATTTCACTCACGAGTTCTTTGCGACTGCCTTTCATTTTCAGGTCATCGAACTCTTTCTCCAATTTGTCAACTAAGACTTGGAGTGCATCTCTGCTCTGTTTTATGAGCTTCATCCCTCCGCTGATTAATTCTACAGCGTTGTTCAGTTCATCGTACTGTTTGGTCTCATTTCCGCATGGTGAGATCTCTTCGGCATAGCCCTTATACTTCTCAAGCAGGGTTCCAAGTGTTCGAGCACTGTAGGCTATCGGTTTCTTGTGGAACAAGAACGCCATGTTTGCCTATCGCTTGACAGAGCTATATGCTTACTCAATTTCGGCGAGAGTGCTCTGCTAATATAGCTTTGCAACTCTTACTTACTTTATTTCAGCGTGAGCGCTTCACCAATATAGCTTTGCCTCTGCTTACTTAATTTCAGCGTGAGTGCTTTGCTATTATAGTTCGCAACTCCTTGCTTACTACCAGCTTGTGCTCACTGATGTGTCAGTGTTGTCTGCAGCTCTGTGCTGGGACAATTGCCAGGTATGGTAGCCTGGTCTTATTCGCTTCGCGGAGAATCTCGACTAATATACAGTCGATGCCAGGTGAGGGTGGCCTGGACTTTTGCTAGGTATGATGGCCTAGACTTGGGTGCCAGATGAGGGTGTTCTGGGCTTTTGCTAGGTGTGGTAGCCTAGACTCTAATTCTATACAAAATCACGACCAAGAGAAAAAAAAATTTCTGGCCGACGCACCAAAATGTGCAAGCGGTGGTTCAGATTAATTCAGGAAGATTTATTAACAAGATATAAACAATAGATGCTCTTTTTACCCGAGCAGGGTGCAAGATGTGAGTAACAATCAACGAATGACCCCTTATCACATTTCGCCCCTGCATTTGTAGCAGGGGTGAGTGAATAACAAATTGCGCAACAAGGGTAGGTCGCCTTGGAGGCGACCGAAAACAAACTATGCAAACGAAGAAGAGGTCGCTTGTAGCGACGAAAACAATTGCGTAACTAGGAGAAGTCGCCATGTCGGCGACAAACCCCAGAGAAAAAGGCGAGATACGATGCCGAGCCAGAGACGAGCTTTCCGGGGTCCGATAGTGAGGGCAACAGAGACTTCAAGAGGAAAAGACTGAGGAAGCGGACGAAAGGATTGCGAGAACTGATAAAGAACAAGGTTGGGTACTGCTTTGCACCCCGCAGCCCTAGGATAAACTACAAACTTGGGATCATTGCAGATTGAAGTTGCACTCAGAACGTCTCCGTCTCCATTGAATCATTTATTTATATCTCGAGACGAAGCTGGCACTCCTCGTTAGTGATATGTGTGAATGCGTACGTTTTTTCAACAATAGTTTTTCAGAAGCGCCCTTTGTGGAAGTCGTCAGAGCGATTGGTCTGACCAACGATCAATGGTTGAAAGTTGGTTGCTTCGGTTTATAGTCCTGACCTTTCCATGTCTTCTCACTTATAGGTCGTATCATTACCTCCCAGAGTGATTGAAAGCATATCGAATATAACTGATATGTTTGATATAGAGAAAAGTCGAGAAAACACTATGATGGTAAAGCATCGACCGACTTCATGGAGTGTCGAAGAATGCACCGTTTACCTGGTAAGCCCTTGTTACACAATTTTCCTTTTTGATCTATTTTCCTCGATGCTGTACTAACCAGCACTCCCGAGTATGTCTCGGCATGTTTCAGTTCCTACAGTTTTAGCGCTCTCACGCTCTCACACACACACTTGTCAGAATATTGCGTATGGTACAAAAATTAGTGGTACAAAAATTATCAAAGTTTATTGCTGACTGCTCGCAAGTGCTCTTTTTCTGTGATCAGATTACCTGACAATTTGTTGCTAGCGTAGAAGCCTCTAGGGAAGCTGTATGCCGGTGTGGGAATGAATGGACTGCTGGGGCTCCCTTTTTTTATCGGCGGGGTGATTTATCAGCTTGAACATGTGCGTTTGCGTAATGGTACACGCCTTATTGGGTAACATTGAATGTGCTCCACCTTTATTTCAGATCACGTAACTTCTTCTTAATAGCTTTGCTTCCTTGGGCTCACAAGGAGATAATTGACCTTCACGAAGCGGTTCAAATCCTCAAGAGAAGCGTTTAGAACCTAAAGGGTGTAATGCACTCGGGTTTTTTGATTTTCAAGCTTCTTGCTAATAGATTTGCACCGACTAAGCTTCTACCTATCGCGATCCGTACGAAACGTAAGCAGGGTCCTTCCGGCACAGATCGTATGGAAGCGAACTGGGCTTCGTTTCTGGGGCGAAAAAGCACAGGGGATATTGTTTTTGTGGCCAGTAAGACGCAAAAAATTGCGACGTTTTTTAGTCGACGTTTTGTTTTTTAAAGGTTTTTTGCAGATATGGTTTGGCGTAGTGGATTTCGTAAATTTTGGCAAAAATCAGGGGGACTTCGTTTTCAAAAAGCCTAGAAAAGAATTCATGCCGGGCCCTGAACGTAGGCATGAGACAACCCGCGCCTGATGTATCTGCTCTATTAGCCTCCTTTCCTCGACTGGCGTAGTAGAAGAGAATGGGTAATAAACGATTTTGGGATCTCGCAGATTCAGATTTTCGCGAAATTCTTTGCGGATTTCCGTCTAACGTTTCTTCTGGTAGGGACCACTACTGAATGCCAAACAAAGCAGTTGAGCTTAGCGTTGAAGAAATTCCTAACCATTCAAGTATCTTTTGCATCTTTTATGGCATTTTTTAGGATAATCTTCCTCAGGGTTGTACGTCGGAGAAGATTGACAGAGTTGCCAGGAAGTTTGGAACTGTAGTCGAGGTGCACATTGAATTGAATTTAGCAGGTTCTAATGCAATTCAATTTTCAGATTCATCTTCCCAGGTCTTATCCGAGATTTATTCAGTCATATTATGGCGATGTTGAAGTAGGTAGACGACCGAAATCTTTCGCATTTGTGCAGTTCACCGAGCCTGAGGCATGTCAGCAGATGTGTGCGGTAGGTTCGACGAGTTCAACTAATGTGAAATTATGATTTTTGCAATTTTGAGGCATATTCTCGCAACCTCCCAAAGGAAGGAGCCGAACGAATGACACATTCCGTACTCCCTTTGCTGCAGCGCTTGCTCGCGCAAATACGGAAGTAGGTATCTAGCTTTTTCTAGGAGTTCACTGTTATTACTATTATTTACTATTCTCACTATTCTTCAAATGGTAATTAGAGAACCTTGTGAGAAGACCTTTTTTTGCTTACATTGATTGGAACGATGGCAATGAATAGTGGATATAGTTTGGCTTGCAGGTTGTCGCGACATAGACGTCGTCGTACATATGCTCAAAATATGTTGTTAATGAGGTTGAGACGTCAACAAGCAGCCATTATCAGGAAGGAACGTACTGCCAAAAAGAGAACACATAAACTTTCACTAACGGCTGATACAGGCAAACCACACAATAATGAAAAACGAGAAAATGGTGAGTTGTAATGATGAAACTGTTTGTATTCTGTTTGCTGTCGTACCTGCCTATCAGTCCTAATGGGAAGGGTCTTGTTATTGCAGTCTGTCATCTGCACCACATTTTTCCAGGGAAGATCTTTTTAAACAGCCAATCGCAAAGCACTTCGTCTTTGGAATCTTGCAATCACCGACGAAATAGCTGTAAAAGGAAGAAGAAAGCTGATGAGCTTTGTGATGGCACCATAAAGAAAGCGCCTACGAAAACGAGGAGGTTGCGCACAAAAAACACTTTTTATAACTTCAATGACAGACATTGTTATAGGAAACATCGGAAACGGCGATATCATGACGTTTGTCCCCATTCCATACAGGGTTCTGTGAGCGACTACTTCGAGAATTTGCAAGTGCTGACGTTGTAAGTAGACTCTGTTTGGTTCTTAGCATTCCATTCATTTGCAAGCAACTTCAGAGCTCGCTATCGAGAACTCAGACAAGAATACATCGCAATGCGTCGGAAATCAGATAAACGCTCCCGTCAGTTTGCAATGAAGGTGTGGCGTTTCCAGCAGATCTCGACAGCGTCAGAGCAATCTAGCGTAAGTATTAGCACATAAATATAATAAGTGTGTCTTATGTGTGGTTCACATAAAATTTGTCATTCCTATATTTTTATGGAGATTTAGCTTTGTAAACTGTTAGAGTTCACATGTAAAGAAGTACGAACAAGGCACGTGCTCATTTTTCCTTTATTCTTTTCTTCATGTTTCTGGTCTGACGTTTAAAAGTTGAGTTTTACATATGCTGGAATCTTGAAAGTCCACTTTCAAAAGTAACAGTCAAACTGGTGATTGACTGTCTTGAGGCCCTGCCGAACGAATTGCGAAGACAGTATTATTTAAGCGGGATTGAACGCGGCGCGCGTAATTTCACTATTGTGAACTCTGCGCCTCCTGCGGTGTGGTTATTAAAAGCTTGGCTTCTTAAGGTGTTGCTCCTTCTTCCGGCAGTATCCCACATTTGAAAAATTCGATTTTTACGGCTTTCCTGATATTTTTCCTAATGGTCACCAATATACTTTATTTTCAGCTAAATCGAAGAATGGATAATTACCGTGACGCATTTTGGAAGACAGCCGAGGTCGAAGAGTAATTGGTCACATTCCATTATTCAAAAAAGCTGTAGAAACTTCTGTGCAATTTCTGAGCCATGCATTGTCAACTTTCTCTCACTCAGCGTCCTGTTCTCTTTCACATCCTGTGACGGGTTGTTGCGATCTTTTCTCGTTCATCTCTGTTGCCCGATATTATACGTACAAGCTTGTTTTGCATTTTTTTCTTCTTTTTTTACTATTGTCTGAATTTCTCCAGCTCTTGATACAGGAGCATCTCCAAAGGATTGTCTTGTCAATAATGTTGAGTGTATGTCGTTAAAGTTCTAATCGATAAATTTTTTATATTAGCAGTATGTACATGAACAAGTTTTCAACAATATATCATCACGCCACGTCACCCGGCGAAATACTTTGAGCTCGTGACGGAGATGGTTTCGAGGGTGGATGACTAGGCAAGAAAGGCAGAAGTTGCAAAAATGGCATTGCTCGAAGTATCCTGTAATAGGGTGAAGGTGTTTTACCGCGTGCATAGTTTCAGGGACTCACCTATTCACATATTCTGGGAAAGCATACCCATCATCTTCCAGTTGTTCGATCTTTTCTTGTTTTTCTTCCTCATCATGTCGTTTCAATCCTCGCTGACGTAATGTTGCTCCTAAATAGCAGCTCGAAGTCTTTGAAATAGAAAGTGATCGGAGGTACCTGGCACAGAATTATCTAGGATCACAGCGACGACTCCACCAACAAGCATTTTAATGCTCAACAGCATGTTTATGATTTGATCCCAATCAGCATTACCTGGACCAAACCAGTTGTTATTGAATTGCAGAAACAAAAAGCACGAAACTTTGGAAGGTATTTGAATAATTTGGTCTGCGTTTGACGCAAGATTATTAATGCTAATTTCAGTGAACCAAAGGAGAGGAAACCTCCCAGCTGCAGGATCGCGTTTGCGATAGTATACCAAACTATTATAACAGGTCCCTAGGCTAATGCTGCTTTCATATGTTTGATTTTGATAAGGATGCAAATTCTTCAGCTCAGCTTACCCGTTCTGATGGGGCTCCTCTCAAGATGAAGCGGAAGTACTAATCCTGTCAGCAGCGATAGTCCCAGAATAGAGAGGTTGCGAGTGAGTTTCAAATCAATAAGCTGGAAAACAAAAAGGATACAAGTGTTGGAAACCATTAGCCGTTGGTGTTCCATCATTTCACATTTGTTTCAGCCCAGCTGCGGTCCGGGAAATTTTGTTCTGGGAGGGGGGGGGGGGAGAGGGGTGGGGAGAAGGGAGGGGGTTGAGAAGGGGGAAGCCTTTGGGATGCTTGAGGTGGGGTCAGCACATCAATCAGAAAAATATTCCAATCTTGCGCAAGTACGAACAAGTCACTGAGGCTTTTTTGGACTCTATAGGCCATAAAGCGACAGTTCAAACCACCCCACCCACCCTCGGTCCGTCACTGCTTCATCTTCTCGATTATTTTTGTCGATGAAGCTATCCTATTGATCCAAAAAACTCAAGATCGTACAATCCTCTGAAACTTCACTCAAACGGGATATTTGGCACACAGTTATGGGTTGCGCCTTGCACGGTAGTCATTTATTCATAATGCATACGATGAGTGGGCCCGAAACTGATGTTCAAAACTTTGTCTGTGAAGGGAGAGGGGACTTAGCTGATTCCATTATCGTGCACGCTAATAGATCATGCCGATTTCAATAGGGCCTGGTCTTTTATCTTCGCTGTATACGCGCCATTTTGGCAAAATTCGTTTGGATGACAATTTTCGCAGTACTATAATGTAACTAAAATCTCCGAACTATGCGAGATTCTAGAGATCCACAAAGCAGCCATGATTTTGCACGTTACAAGGCATACTATAGGGCATTCGAGAAATTGTGACGATGGCGCGACCGCGCGCGACACGCACGCCACTTCCGGAAATCGCGTTTTCTTAGTTTTCGTCCTTAGTCGAGTGATTTTTTTGCTTACGTATGATAGCATTTGGACACTGGAAGTAGTTGAGCTAAACGTTAAGGTAATGCCTTCTTGTATGAGCGTTTTATGCTCTTGTGGGCGCAAAGTCCGCAGTAAAATCCGTCGTCACGATTTTATAAATGAACTATACATAGTTCCTCACTAAGAAGAGTTTACGAGCTCCATCTCTGTATTGGCTTGCTCTAGCGTAATTTTTTCTCAGTTAGCTTTTTGATAACATTTGAATCTGCGTTGTCTGTGTTTTACTCTATTTGTCCATGTAAACAATAATTAAACAGTTGAAAGATCTTTTCACTTCCCGTGGAGGGCTTTTTGATTTATGCATATCGCATGAAAAATCTAGTTTTTGAATTCAAAATTATTTTGAAATGCTGGCAACTTTCCAAGTTTCATTTGAAGAGCTTTAACTTCCGCATTCCCCCGCGCACTGATTCACCGCAGATTCAATGACAATGACAGATGACACTTCAATCCAATGACGCCCACCCAATGGAAGTGGGCGGGGCTGGTGGAGTTTTGAAGCTCTTTGTAGGACTTAGGTCTCGGATTGGAGGGTGGGGTTGGGGCAACGGTGTACTTGGGGGGGGGCTTCTACCTAAAAGTGCCAAAATCTGATAGGGGCCCATTTTGCCGATCCACTGCCTTTAAGAAATGAAAAAAATGAAAGAGGCGAATAGAGGATTTTCAAAGGATAAAGTAGTAGAGGATAAAGTGACGTCAGAAAACTTCTTTATATCTACAGCTCAGATCCAGGAAGAAGAGAAAGACGTGAAGAGGTAGACTTTGTTACCTACTCCATCCGCAAAGGGGATGGGCTTTTCTAAAAGCTTCGATAGCTTTCTGGAGGAAGGTGAATAAATTAACAAGATTTATAGGTACTTCCGTTATCCGGACCCATTTTCTCAAAAAGGACACTTCTCCTTTCTTTTTATCTTATTTGCTCCGAACTTCACAGGAAAGGAGTGTCAACCTGTGCCAAGCGTCAAAAAAGTTGGGATTTTATCTGCATGTTCACAGATTTCACCGAGAGTTTGTAATGTGTATCTATAATGCCATCGTAAATCCAGTTTTTTGATTTAATGACCCCATTTTTGATTCAACATTTTCAAAAAATGATCATTAAATTCAGCAAATTCCATCCTATTTTCAAAATGCGTTAGGGTTTGATCATATGAGAGGCAATAAAGCGGCAGCGAGGTATACTTCATTATTTGTGGACTTCATTGGATAAATTCGCATGGTGAAGGGTTCGATTAGGGATATATTTTCTTATTGCTGAGAGCAATTAAGATGTCCTAATAAACAATTTGGATTGTTTTGCTCTCATGAAAAACAGCTGGACCGAAGGCGATCCATCTATGAACCATTAGTTAGTTTTTGAGCCATCTTAAATGCTTTCGTACCGCGGAAATGATTTGGAAAAATGTTGAACTGGGCCAAAACCTGTTGTTTTTTACTGACTCCTGACAGAAAGACAGCCCTCAAGGATCAATAGCGTAAATTTTCTGGACTAAACCACATCCTTTCTTGAAGACTATTTGGAAAAATGGGTGCAGATAATGGAAAAGTACCGATTTATGTCTTAACGCCGTGACCTGGGGAGTGTAGCTTGCTTGGAAAAAATTATTATTTTGATTGAAACTAGCACAAAACGGAAATGTAGCAAATTAATGGTTCATACACGAGTCCCTTTAACAGCTAATACCTAATACTGTTAAGGAGTTCAAAAGTTATATAGCACTCTATGGAAATTGTAATCATAGGACAGGGAAACTTTTCCTCAGTAGTCAGTTCACGAAATGTCAATTCTTTACCTGCAGATTACTCATCGCAACACCGGCTATCATTGACATGCCCATCATAAGAACTGCACCCACAAGCGCATCTGGTATTGAGGCCAAGAGAGCTGCCATTTTTGTGAACAAACCCATGATAATGAGCAAAGCTCCAGCGATTTGCATTGTAGATCGGCTGGCCACCTGTAATGTGAGAAACTCTTTCTGTTTGTTTTGCTGCAGCAAAACCTCGAACACGAACCCTGGTAATGTGGATAAGTGCGATATTCTCGCCAAATGTCGTGACACCTGTGCTCACGCCCATAACAGCAGCCAACATGCTGCCAATACCTAAACCAGCAAACGAATGCATATTTTCTCAGTCAAGTTTGCCATGAGATGTAGAATGTTTTTGAATAATGAAGAATGCTCAAGACTTTTGTGGTACGATTGGATAGGGTGTGCTAGTACCTTCGACCATTATCGCTCGATTGACAGCATTCTTAGGTGGTGGTCGCTGCTCCGAAACTCTTGCCAATAGATCATATGAGCCGATGTTTTCAATTACACTAGATAAGCAAGAAGCCAAGTAAGCCATACAAAGACCTATGCTCCATCGGGGCAATCCAAATCGCCCTGAAACGAACAATTACCTGAGATCTATATCTGCTAGGAAGAGCTACTCAGAATTTCTCACCGGGATACGGCACCTGAAACCATGGTGACTCTTTTAGCACCGACATCGAAACATTTTTATCTGTCCTAGCTTGACCACCCTCAGGTTCAAAACCCGTTATCGTCATCAAATAACATATGAACCATACTAGGAGAATACTGAGCAGGTACTGAAAGCAATTTCGGATTGATTACGTGTTGAAAATCTGTAACTTTCTGCTATCTTGACAGATTTGCTAATGTATATTTTCACTGGAAAGTAAACGTCTTCCTCTCCTTTGTAAATGTAGCTTGACGAGCTTCTAGGTACTCATTGCAGAGTTAAAAATGGAAAAGAAAGATAGATCATTCAGGCTTCCATCATTTTAAGTCAGGTCGCAAAAAAATCTGGAACAGTTGCATTGCGGAAAATCTGAACCGTCAGTGCATGAGTTTTATACCCCATTCTTTGTAATTGAGAAAAAGATGCTGTTTGAACGTTTCCGCGAGAAGTTTTTCAAGTTTATAATAGAAAAATTCATCAACTGATTTGTCACTGTTCTTGCAAATTACAACTTTTTGCAGAAATGTTCAAAGAGCACAATTTTCTTTCAGTTACAAAGAGCAGGTCATAAAACTTGTGTACTGACGATTCAGGTTTTTCCGCAACATTCCAGATTTTTTGCCACCGAACTTAAAATGATTGAAGCTTGGATGATCTTTCTTTTCCTTTTTATCTCTGCAATGAGTGTGCATAGGAAAAGCTTGTTGACAACTACAAAGAGGAAAACTTCTTCTTTCTAATAGAATTACAAAGAAGCAAATAGCGGAAAGATAGCGAAAAGTTACAAATTTTTTAAAATGGAACGATAGAACTTTCACGACAATCTTATACAATCAGAACTATAAGAGTACAATCAGAACTATAATCTTATACAATCAGAACTATAACTAACTATCAGAACTTTAAGAGCATAAAGTCATTGGTGAGAGGATTGATGCAGATACATCCAATTAGCACAAATCTGTCTCAGTTAGAAAGAATGGAAGTGGATTCAAAGCCAAAACCAAAATTAGTATCCATAAGACTTTTTGCATTTCTAGCTACCACTGGAAATTGATTTCAGTGCTTCTTTTCATCATCTTCTACGGTCGCATCATGCTCATAAATGTGCGTGGTTTCCTTTACTCGACTATATCAATCGAAACGGATTCAAAATGGAGAAGGCCATAAATTTTCATTAATTCAGGTGCAACAATTCAAAAATAATTTATCTCAATCCGCAAAACTCAAGGCATCGTGTCAAAAATGTTTTCTAGTTGATTTTTTGCACAGTTCTGAATTCTTTTCTAGTTGAGGGTGATTCATGTGATCACTTAAAGAGCAGTCTCCAAATGAACATATCGATTCTTGGCCTAAGTTTTGTTGAATGGATAAATGAATTCTCAAGTTTGGACAAAAGTTATTACCGGAAATTGCCCAAATAGTCGAACTTTTGTTGTAAAGAAGCGTTTCTTCTCGATTGAATAACATGGCAGAGAGATCCGCATGTTTTCCATGTATACAGCCATAGCAACAACACATGCAAGCATCCTAAAATGAAAATGTTTTTTAGGGACATAAATTTCCGAAAGTTTGATGGTTTCTTGATTTATCATGTTATCATAGGATAAAGATAGACACATTTTTTTTATCGGCCGACTCAGCTTCTCTTTTTTCAGTAGCCACATCTTCCAGAGAATTCCTTCCTGATTCCTTGCATGGTAAAGAAGTATGCGGTACTTAGAGTTAAACGTTCACCAATAGATGTTATTGACGATTTAGTAGGCCGATATCTAGTCTCTTCAGTCCTTTAGAAATTTTGAAAATGCTGTGTGGTTTAGAAGGCTTCGTTAGAGGAAATATGCTTTAAGTGCATGTTACCAAACCCTTTTAGAGAGCTGACATGAGAAATGAAGGAAATGCTAAAGCTGGACGAGGTAAGGCGAGCGCTCTGGACTTTCTCGTTGAGTGACGAAAGAAATCAGTTCGAAAACTTAGCTGTTGGAAAGAGGAAGAAATGTGCTGAATAGCCTTCGTCTAGTTCTGTTTTATTTACGAATTGGCAAATAAAACGGCATAAGCTTTCGGAACGATGCTGGATGCTAAATTGCCTTACACTAATGAGATCCAATGAAGTGACAGTTTGCTTTCGACAGTAGGTACTACACTTGCTGTGAGCAAGATCATCAGGGGAACAATCGTAATTGGACCGATCAACCTTGCCAAGAGACCGGCCATTCCCGTTCCACCAATTATGATAAAGGAAACACATGCGACCAGAAGACTTCCAGATATCTAAAACAAGCTCTGCTCCACTCAAGTTTGGTGAGAAATCCGGTACATACTTCTTGTAGCCTTCCCTGCCAGATGTCCGGATTGACAGTGTCTAATTCGGTGAATGTACACTCACTCGCACGAAGAGCTTTATATGCCAACAGAGGAGGCAAAAATGCCATTGCAGGACCATTCAGCACACATAACCTGGAATTGAAGTTTTTTGGTGGATGCAGTTTGGACTGCTTTCTTAAAAAAATTTGAAAGCAGTGCGACTCAAGGCTGATTATTGTTGGAAGAGAACAAGAAATTTTCTAGAAGGAAGGCTCGAGCCAAAGAGAAGGCGAACCACAAAATTTCGCAAATTTCCAAATGAGCTCAAAAAATTTCGAGACTTTGCAAGCACTCCATAACTTGACGCTGTCTAAGGGAAATTGGCCGATCGAAGCTCAAAATTAAGAGCCAATCTTTTGAATCTATGTAGTGAGGACGAACACGAGGCAAATGCCGTCTTTGGAAAAAAGTGCATTTTCGAAAATATTGTCAAATGCTTTACCATGTCATTATGACTGAACATTTAAAAAATAATTTAGATTCATGCCATAAGCACTTCTCAGTTGCCCAAAATGGAAGATTGCTACATAGAGTTTAGGACAAGACTTCAATTGAAATTTTATTAACGAGAAAAAGCTGCAAGATGATTATGATTGGTAATTTCTACGTACCTCAAACCAAATGTAGTTTGAATGATAGTGGCAATTCCACAGCTAACAAATGTTGCTGCTATAAGTTGTACCCGGAGTTGAACCGTAGCATCACCGGCGCATACTGCTTCAGATATGATGAATGGGTAGACCAAGAGACCAGATAAACAAATCATTGCTTGCTGCAAAGTTATAATAATTCAATACATTGAAGATTAGGGCGGAATATCCGGAATAAAATATGAGAACTCACTTGGAATCCAAACATCAGAGCAGCGGACCAGACCGGGACATCGTTGACCCGCAGATGAAGAGGTTCATGCTTTTCTATTGTGACTCCCATTTCAATCTGTTCTCCGATCTTAAGGAAATGCTCCTGCACATAAGATCAACATTGCCCTTTGATAATAGAAAAAAGAGTGTATAGTAGAAATATTTACTCACAACTTCTATTGACATGACACTAATAAAATAACGTACCCGAATGAAACTGGATCTTTGGTGTGTCTAGCCGATTATTGTGGGATAAAGAGCGCGAGTACCGAAGTAACCTGTTGTACTCACAGGGGGATGGTTGTACGAAAAGATCTACAACTTGTATAGTGTGATAGTCTATCCCAAAAAATCGAGACAGGATCAAAACGAAACATCAAAAGCTTTTGTAAGCTTGCTGCCAAGATGTGAGAGATTTGATGAAGAAAAATCGACATTTCCTAGGTATCACACTTTCCAAAATCAAGAGAATTTACTGCGACAACGAGAAAGCGATATAACTTTGTATAGACAAAGTGACGCTAATTGCAGGAACTTTCACTGTTGAAGATCGGCTGAAAAGAGCAGTACTCATGTTTTGAAAGGATTAACGAAAACACCACATCAAAGCAATAAAAATCAAACACAGAGTGAAGAATTCATTGGCAAATGATGCTCACATAAAAAATGTAAATGGTTTTCTTATGTTTAGAGATGGAACAGAGCGGAGGGGATCGTTTAACAACATGTAAAAATCGAATATAGTAGAGTAGACGTTAGATTGGACAATCAGCAACAATGTATGTGAGCAAAGAAAAATTATAGAGAACATCTGCATACAACTCCAGATTACAAATCATTTGATCATGTAAGTCCTTACGATTTTCTTTACAATTTATATATATTGTAGAATGCTACTGGTTGGAAGCTGACCAAAAGCTTTAGCAACATTTGCGGGTAATTCGCATTTTTTGCGTTCACGACTCTCAGAATTAGCATAAAAATTCCAAAGTTGACAGTTCTGATAAATTCTTGTAAAAATTGAAAGAGATGTTCAATTTTGGAATCTATTTGCCATTACTCTTATAATTGTTGAGTTAGACAAAAGTTTTTCACACAGAAGCGTACTAACGCATGTCGCAAATCGGACAGTGTGATTAAGCACAACCCTTCTATAATTCGCTCTTCCAGCGATCTCTTATGTTCATTAGCGATTATCAAGGGCAACACTGTGCTGATGGATAGTGCGTGCGGCACGCAGGTCACCTTGACACTCGCTCTAATTTCAACGCTGCTCTCTGCAGCATAGTTCCGCTTTCAGTTGACCAAATGCTTTAGCAAACATTTTCACCACTTCTTGTGAAATCTTACTGTAGCTAGTGTGAAACATTTCACTCAAAGTCTAAGCTAGTAAAAGTAAAATTTTAGCTGTGAAAGCAATTTGCAAAAATCTGAATTACTATGACGTTTGACAGGTACTCTGACAATAAGTGTGGTTGGGAAAGATTATATTTCTAACAGAAAACCTGCTACCTGAGCTTCACTTTCAAGCGCTGTGTGGCGACTACGACTAAATGAACTTGAATCGCGTTCATTAGCCACTAAAAATATCAAGAACATAAGACTTTCTAACTCAGCTATCGAATGTTATACAGGGGTCCTAAAACAAGTGCCTACTATTCGATTGTTAATAACTCTCTTATCATCAATTCTTTCGGAAAGCTCTAGATACTATCTCCTAGAGCTGCCTTCAACTTAGATTTACGTATGAAGGGACTTACCGACCACTCTTCAGTCCTGTAGGATTAAGGTAGTAGGAACTTTGAAGAGATTCTGGGTCATTTAGAGTAATCATCACGGTCATATTTTACTTCTAGAATTAGACCGAAGCAGCTAAAAACTGCTACAATAATCAGAGTCGCTGATTCCAAACACGGAACCCGCACTTCACTAGCGCTTTGTTCATAAGTTGTGCCAGATATGCCACAGCAGCCGATTTCTGCTAATCGTTAAAAATCTGATTAGGCCATTCAAAAAGATCTGCGAACGCGCAAAAATGCGTGTACCGAAATGAGCATGCATGAAAACATTGTTACACGATTTTTTGGAGACTTTTTTCCAAACGTCCTTCCTCACAGTGGCGCCACACGCTGCAATTATTTCCTACCGTACACTTAAGCGACAAAAGAAATTCTTGATTCGCTCCATACTGTAGAGCTAAGCTAAGACACACTCTACAAAATGGTTCTAAAACTTCTAGAATTACTTCATGACAAGGAATTAAAAACAAACAGTAGGCTTTTTTGGACACCCTGCAGGTTGGTGCGAAATTTCTGCGTAATTCAAACGAAATTCAATAACTTTTCAAACACTGAACTTAACTTAAATTTATACTTCGGTAACCTAGAAATGGAAAATTTTGGCACTATGAAAGATGTCAAAGTATGACATTCTATGAGTTAGCCATCAAAATGAAGCTGTCAAATATTTGAAATTTTGCAATTTTGTGCTTGGTGTTAAAAAATCTTGAAGTATCGCCAGCTAGCCCCAAAAATTCCGTAAAAATTACTCACAGCAAAAGTTCGTACGTTACTGTGGCAGGCCCAGAGGTGCGATAGGGGGAGCCGGGTCCCCCAAAAGTGAAGGTGGTTTCAGCTACCACTGGCCGGCCAAAAGTGAAGGTGGTAGTGTCGGACACTCACCTCCCAAAAACGTCGACGGGGGGGGGGGGGGGGGGAGGCGCGGGGGGAGGATAGAACGGACGAACGGAGCTATCTTTCTAGGTCTAACGTCGACCCAACGGCCCTCTTTAGGGCCACAGATACGATGAATATTAAAAATATCTACAAATTTTATTTATAAAAATTTAAAATAGACGTGTTTAGTAAATGGTGCATTTGGAAGTAGAAGTTTGTTGGACTGTACGGATTTTATTAAGCAAATTTTGTTATAACGTACAGCGAAGAAAGTAGATCGATCCAGGCAGTAACGGCCGAGAATCAGAATTTCGAATAAATAAATAGTGAAAAATCATGCAAAATTTCCACTGTTATAAATCTGTTGTTTGAAGATGTCAGCAGTTGCGACTTCATAGGTTTTAAAGAGTAAATGTTGCTCTATCAGCTAGTGAATAAATCTGGTCGATTTAAGAGATAGTCGTTGAAAACCAGAGTCCTAAAACTTTACGCCATTTTTGCGTGTTTTTTGACTTTTGAGAGTTAAACTCTTATAAATCTTGAATGTGAAAGTGTGTGATGTTGCGACTTCATAGGTTTTATAGAGTAAGGTTTGCCTTATCAGAATATGTCTTGTACGTTCCGATCCATTGAAACACCTCCGAGATCCAGGCTCTTGAAAAAGCAGGTAAAAAACAGCTTTTTGAACTTCAACAGCTCGTAACTTCTTCAGAACTGCATGAATCATGTTGCGACTTCATAGGTTAGATTCTTCTCATCAAGAGCTTTCAGATGATATATAATATGTGGGGGTTTAGAGCCTCCTACGAATTATGCCCGGGGGGGGGGAGACTTTTTAGGCCAAAGTCTCCCCCTCGCCCATCCAGCCAATACATTAAAATGGGCGAGGGGGAGACTTTGGCCTGAAAAGTCTCCCCCCCCGGTCATAATTCGCAGGAGGCTCTAAACCCCCACATATTATATATCATCTGAAAGCTCTTGATGAGAAGAATCTAACCTATGAAGTCGCAACATGATTCATGCAGTTCTGAAGAAGTTACGAGCTGTTGAAGTTCAAAAAGCTGTTTTTTACCTGCTTTTTCAAGAGCCTGGATCTCGGAGGTGTTTCAATGGATCGGAACGGACAAGACATATTCTGATAAGGCAAACCTTACTCTATAAAACCTATGAAGTCGCAACATCACACACTTTCACATTCAAGATTTATAAGAGTTTAACTCTCAAAAGTCAAAAAACACGCAAAAATGGCGTAAAGTTTTAGGACTCTGGTTTTCAACGACTATCTCTTAAATCGACCCGATTCTTTCACTAGCTGATAGAGCAACATTTACTCTTCAAAACCTATGAAGTCGCAACTGCTGACATCTTCAAACAACAGATTTATAACAGTGGAAATTTCGCATGATTTTTCACTTTTCAAATATTCAAAATTCTGGTTCTCGGCCGTTACTGCCTGGATCGACCTACTTCCTTCGCTATACGTTATAACATAATTTGCTTAATAAAATCCGTACAGTTTTGCTAAGCTTTACTTCCAAATACACCATTTACTAAAAACCTTTATTTTAAATATATATGCCGCCGTATACATAAATATATGCTTTCAATAATCTTTTTTGCGTTTGTTTTGCTTATTTTCCTTCTTTGTCGTCCAGCGAAAAATTTTTTATTCCAAAAGTGAAGGTGGTCACCCCGTACCAGCTCAAAAGTGAAGGTAGGGGGAGACTTGGCTCCCCCTATCGCACCTCTGGGCAGGCCTCAATCTCGTATGGAAGCATAAAGATAAAAAATTTGTGAAAATTTCATTTTACAGGATAAATTCCCCTTACTGCTGCAGATTTTTCACAAACATAGCTTGGAATCAAAATTTAGGATAGTGCCAACCTAGGACCCTTTGATGTTTTTCTTGGAAAAAGTGCTTTCGCGGAAAAAGTGCATCAATGAGGGAATTTCTGTAGAATGTTATTCTTAACAAACCTGTTTTTGCGTTATCGGAGATGAAAACCCACATTAAGGCATGAACTTTTGCTGTGTGAGTGAATTTTACAGATCTTTTCAATCTAAGACAATCTGATTGTTTAAAATTTGGCATGCTTCATTTCTTTGCACCTCACGGAGGCTGAAACGCAGTAGTTTTGTCTCTAGACTCCCAAGCCCCGGCTGTCGTTTCGTTTTGCTCATTAAATTTATCAAAAAGCCTTAAACCATAGAAAGTATGCCCGAGGCTACATGTCCTATAGTGCCCGTTGCTTGCTCCTAACGAGGGAAGGAAGGTCGGTCGAAGGGTCTATGATGTGATGTATATTATCTTGTAGAGCTTGGAACACTGATTTCAAATCTGCCTTCGCTATCTGCTGCGGGCCTCGGGGCGAGGAGTTTTGAAGATTTTATGATTGAAAAGTTAAGTGTAAAATAACTGTAAGATCAGTCATAACATTTTTTCTAGAGCTTAACCGATAGTGGGCCACTCGATGCAAAGAATATTATTGATTTAAATATACCAATGCGCTGTGTTGCACTCAAATGTTGGGAAAAGATCACGACTGATTTACTAAATTTTCATTTAACTTTTCACCCACAAAAACCTTCGCTCTCGCCCAGAAGCCCGCAGCAGGTAGCAAAGGTAGATCTAGAATCAGCGTCCCACTCTCCACAAGAAGGTGCACATCTCATCTAAAAAGGCCACTTCGACCAACCTTCCTTCCCTTGTAAGCTGGATGTAATGACAGTTTTGAAATCTAGCTCAGAAGGAAACTATGCGAGATAATGACTATGTCATGCAGTTCATTGCAATTGTTCAATGAATAAATCAAATGTTTTGAACGATTCTGCACTACGTGACCCTCGCTTTCATATGTTTGGGTTTGACCCACTAAACAATGATCATCGTTAGTCACTTTGCTGAAAACATAACCGGTTTCATTGTCTTCTCGAAGGCTTTGCTGATGTTATGAATTGACGATTTTAGAAATGTACAAATAGCAGTCGTTCGCATTTACTATTCGACTTCTATCAAGGCAAGCCCTGACCTAAAAAGTCGGAAAGGTTGTGGGCCCTCCTCATATCTATGAATTCATTTGAAGAAGATTTGAAGAGACTGAGTAGAGTAAGTTAGAGTATTAGAGCTATAAGATTCGGTGTGGATGTTACTATTTGAAAGAAATGTGCTGGAATATACAGTGTGGCATCAGAAGCAACATTGTATTCCATCTCAGTTTCTTTCCTTCCCTTGAAGGCGGTATATAAGAACGTCGTTATCTTACATATGAGGGTCGTAGCCTGACAATAATTATAGGCATTTTTCTTTCAATCAACTCGTGGTATTTTTATGGTCATATGTATAGCAAACATGTGCGATTGGTCATGTAGATCACATCCTCAAAGTTAATTGTTACTCTAGTGGGAAATAAAAAAAGTTGAAAATACCATGAAGGGTTAGACGAAGCAAAACAAATAAAAATGGCACAATTTTCTTTCCGTTGTGATAATTTGACGTCCCTTCGACAACTTTCAAACTTGTAGCGGAAGGTGTGCGTAATTCTTTAGAGGCAGCGTCCAGGCAAAATTCGCCTCTCTGTTCTTGTCATTCTAGGGCCTTTCCGTGGCCCTGATTACAGTTTTAAAGTTTAAATTGTCCAAAACCCAAAAATCCAATTCCTGGGGACCCTGTTTTGAACGCGGACGAGTTTCGGATTTTTTATCCGCTTGGTTCGCCACTGAGGAGGAGCCAACTGCATCGGTGCAGTCACACTCCATGATCGATCGATGCGTGAGCATACGTCCTCAGGGGTATTTGTGATACGAGGGGCGGTTCGCGATACGTACCACAGGCTCCTTTTAGAGGCCACGTCAAAGGATTGGACCAACGCAGATCGGGTACTGATGGGGTCCACTCTACAACTATGTGCTAATCGGGTTGGGTGGGTCTTGCCTGAACACTGCCTTTAAAGAGAAATAAGATATTATTCGGGCGTTTTTGGTAGGTTCGTCGCAGAAAACAAGGATTGAAACAGAAAAAAAGTTCAACACTCATATAAGCAGAGTTGGGAGAAGGCTCATTGAGATGAAAAAGAAACAGACGTTTTGCTGACAGACTAGTATATTAGAACAGATCTTATTCTTGTAAAAACTTTTTTAGAGCCATCTGCTGTTTATCTTTTCTTATTCAACTTTCGAGTAACTGCTGTTGCTATTTCAACCTTTAGAAGGGCAAAACAGTTCAGCTGGAATCTTACACTATGCGCAACGCAAAATAGTAAATAACGCAAATCGGTTATGCTAAGAATCACTCTTTACACCTTTTCAAAGATCGTGTACAATGTATTGCGATACAAAGGTCATACAGTATGACAACCAACATGCCATTTTTGGGTAGACAGACCATTCTGAGCTCAAGACCACAAGTATAAAATTTCTTGTGCACTGAAACTAAAACTCTAATTCAAACTTTGACTATTTTGGTAAAAAAGAGTAAAGTTGCAGCATTGAAACGAATTGTATATAGTAAAAAAAAGTAAGAAAAAATGTTGCAATAGACTGTATGATTCGTCTTTATTCCACTCAAAGTGATCCATCCTGGAATCGAAGTACATCAGAATTGAAATTAATGTTGGCAGTGCAGCAAACAAACGATGTCATCCAATGATAAAGGGTAAAACAAGCTACTTGATATAAATTGGTCCGATTTTAGCTTCAACCATAGAGAATCAAATCTTTACTATATTTTGAATTAAGTTAAAAAGTTGCAGGGTTCGAGATGTCTCGACTTTTATACCTCTCCCACGCGGAACAGCAAAGTACGATTCACTATGAACAAACAACGAATGCGCAAATGGAAATTCGTTTGGCGAATTCTTCAACAAAGAGACTAGTCATTGATGGGTAAGGTCTTGGATTTCTCGTGTTTGTGTTAGGCACATCGAGGTTGAGATGGTTCAATACCATTACAGCCTCACAGTTTTGATGATAATTAATCGCTCATTTGATGTGCTACCTGAAGCATGAATGGACGACAACTAGCTACCCAATGAAGACTGCTGGCAAGTCGATTACTCTCACGAAGAAAATATTCTTGAATAATGAATTTAGCGGAGGTCTATGTGTTATCTTTGGAAGTGTTCCGTCATGTCGATCAAGCAGACATCAAACAATTAAGTTATAGAAGAAGTGAAGGTGAGTAACAACTTTGACTTTTTCAAAAGGTTGCTCATTTAGTTGAGTCGCTAAACAAAGATCAACACTTTCAAGTTGCCACATTTGTTTTGCTGTTCACTTTCTTCATTTTAAAATCAGGGCAAAGTTATTACTTGATAGCACCACAAAAGGGATTTCAAGCTTACAAAGTTTGATCTACTTGAAGTCAAGAGCAATAATTTGGATCTTTGAAGCAAACATTTGCTTCATTCAAGAAAAAGGACCTAGAAAACTTTCAGTGGCTCCTGCATGTGGAAAGTTAGGCCAAAAATACGAAAATGTTGGTTTTCTGGTTTTTTTGCTAATGTTGCTATTTCTAAAAACTAAAGCTTGTAGAAAGCTTGTAAAAAGCTGAATTATTGCTCTACATTTTTGCTCTAAAGATCTGTACTATAGTATGAGGAGCCCAAGATTGTCTTGGTCAGAACCTGACATTCGTTTTATTGATACAATTAAAAAGTAGAGCTAATTTTGTGTCTTATGCTATGATGTAGAAATTTTGGAATTTTGGCTCTCTAATGTTTTCTCGATTCAGCAGATTGCTTCATCGCTTACGTGCTTCTACATACGATGACCCAAATGTCAGTGTTCATAACGAACTCATTGGCTGAAGACGCAACCGGTCATACTGCATTCCCCTAAATGTCATTCCGTCAAATTTTTCGTCTTTGCGTTGCACATACAAAATTAATGCTATGACGAGATGAATGGCTCGAACGTTAACGGCTATTCGCCAGTTTGATTTCATAACAACCTTTCAGAAACCGAAAACACTCAAATTAACCCATTGATGACAACAGAAATTTTACTTTTTGGAACAATTTGCGTCATCAGGCAATTGCTTTTTTGAATGTTATGGATTTGGTGCGGATTTCAAAACTTAAAGAGTTGCTTGTTGGAAAATTGGCTCATCTGCATGCGCAAAACTATGACTAAGGCATCCTTCGAAAAGTGAACCACTGGCCCTCACCGTGGTCAATGACTTGAACAGAATTGATTACTGAGTTTTGCTTCTTGATAGCACCTTGATCAAACAGCGTTGTTCTCGACAGTGAGTTAACCACGCTTTGAAAAAAAGAAAATTTTCAAGAAATGGGGATCTTTGGCCGAGTTTATTACGTAGCAGCAGCAAGCAGGATACCTGGCTGCAGCTCGGCTCCATAATCCATCAAAATTGCGAGGAAAATGGTTAGTCAAATTATTATAATATATGCAGAGCTTATTGAAGTCAGTACTGTAGGTAACTGTCGAAGCTTCGACCAAAAGGTTCAGGTGGCCTTGATGGGGATGGTTAGTCTGGCCACAGAATTACATCATTACAGAGAGCTTGAATAAATTCTCAAATTAAAATTGAAAAGCTAATAATAAATCCTCCTCAGATTGGTGTATACGATAGCAAAGTGATTGAAAGCAAGTAATCCTAAGAGTTTGGAGAGGTTGTTTTTATATCTGTAGCAATTTTCTTAAAGCCACTACAGATACAGAATTACGAATGAGTAAATTTACTATTGATTGAATCATCATAAAAAGCCAAAGTAGCTCATTTCTTACTTTCCTGATGTGCACAAGTGGGAGGTAGACAATACAGCCAAAAATAGCGACTAACTGAGAATCATGAGATCTTCAAGCTACCTGGTATGGTTTATTTATGATGAAAATGCTGAGGGATATGGTAGTGCGCATCATCCCGGACAAATTTGTCACATTGTTATGATTGGCATAAATTATGTATTTATATTTATAGCACAGCATAGGCGTATATAGTGGATCCAACCTCCGCCTTAGCATATGAGTGACAGAAATTTTGTCCATTGCTAACATGATTGCAGAGAGTTTTCCAAAAGAAGTAGTCGTTTTTGATTTATAGAAGACTCAAGACGTTTATACTGGTCACCTCGTGGTTATATGAGATCAATCAAAAATAAGCACAATAATGATAAGTGAGTAGGTCTAGCCTTTTTGAAATTGTCTAGATCTAGCCTAAAATTTGTTTAAGTCTAATAAGAGCAAAACGTTTGCTCAATAATAATTGTTACATTACCAAAGCTGTTATTGATTTTGAGTCTTCCTTCTTACTAGAGAACAATCCGAATGAAAAGAAGTTTTGCCATCTTATTTGATTTCGCATATCTTGACAAGAGAGCTCCATTAACTTTGCAGGATTTGGACGTTATCTAGCTATTTTGCTGAATTCTAAGAAAATAAATCGGGCTTCTTACGTGACCGGGACATTAGAGCGAGATATGGGAGTGCTGAAAAGTTTGCTGTAAAGGTTAAACGATAATTGACAGTCCTTGAGCAAAGCTGTTGAGATGAACTAAGCAGTGAAAGGAATCCAGAAACCATTCATAGACTGGAACACTATTCAGATTGTGGCGAAGTCAATCGAAATATGGCACATAGACTACATAAACAGATAATGTCATAGAAACTGGTTGGAGTGACAATAAAAACTGCTCTTCTCAAACACAACAGTAGTTTTTCATAAAAGGGTGACCATTACTCAACAGCCCCGGTAACAGGCGGAAGAGTCGATGTAGAAAATTTTTGGATTCTGATGGGGCTGACGCAGAAGAAGGTTACCGCCTTCTACAAGCAAACGATTTCTGTGGAAGTCAGCGAGCAAAGCTCTGTTAAATTAGCCTTATAAGGATCTTCTAGACTTCAAGGAGGTTAGCAAACTTTTTGCTCAAAAGATTACATTCACTATAATCGCTTCAAGCATTGTTTGTAAGAAGTCATCTCCGTTCTGAAACACAAAGGGAAATCGCAACGAAATGCATGTAAGTTCATCCAACCGTAAAAACGAAAATGAATTGAGTCGCTGCGATGATATGTGATCATTCGAGAGAGAGAATTTCGTCATCAAAAGCTAGTGGGACTCGTTTCTTACGCGCTTACACCACGGTACAGCCGATATTCCTGATTGAAGCGAAGCCGAGACCTGCCCTCGTCGAGCTGGTGACCTTCGCGAGAACTGATAAACTGACTCCGAATGTAACAAGATGCTTTTACGCTTCGTTGAGCTTTGTCTCAGATGAGTACAGACCGCTTTTGCTTTTGACATCGCAAGAAAGTGCTGACCTTTCAGAAAGTCAATTCGACTGGTCTCGAGTCAGTTGCTTGTCAGTCATGTGTGGCTCGAAACCTAGTTGGTTCCACTTTTCTTTGGTATAAACTTGCATTGTTGTTGACTGCAATGCAATTCAGCAATTTGGAAGTCACCATATGGCAGTATCAGTAACTGCAAAATTTCATTTGCATTCTTTATGATTATTGCTTGGTTATTTCTCAAAATTTGGCTATTACAGTCAGATGCATTTCTTTGCTAATTTGAACTGTTGCAATGGGAAGCAGGCACTTAAGTGAGAAACACAGTAATTGGAAACATCCAACTTTCCTCAAGTATGATTTCGGTTGAGTAACGAAGAAAACTTTTGAGTTGGACCGATGTTCGCACCATTTTCAAAAAGTAACTCCTTCTAATATCAATAATATATAATAATGTCTAATACCGTGAAATCAATTTTGTTAGAAAGAAGAAACCATGTTCTTATCAGCGGTGTTCCTAGCTCTCTTAAATCGCAAGCAATAATATTATGTTAGAAAGGGATTTCGCATTTTGCACCAAGTTCATTCCACACCGAAGCTAAGAATTTAAAGGGTTTCAAATGCTTGAAAAACGAAGAGAACGTACTTCTGCCAAAAATACCTAGGGAGCGCAACTTGCCCAGGGATTTTCGCTTTAGCTTTTGGCTTCAGCGCGGGATAACTTGATAAACTCCCCAACTCCCTAATTCCCCACATCGACCATTCATATGCATAGTTGCTGTACTTTTTTTGACTAGGAGTCGAATTCAGTTTTCCTTCTGGAGTTTTTAGTTATATTTAATTTTTCTTAAGAACTAACCCTTGTAGAGGCAAAAATTTACTTACTCGCAAAAATTAGTAGTGCAGATTTGTGTGTGGGTCCAGCTTAACTTTGGAAAAAGCGTGAAAATTTTCGTCTATTCGACTCCTATCCATAGAAAAATATAGCAGTTATGCATATCATGATGTGGACTATCATGACCATATTGTGCATGTCTGATGTGAAGAGTATACGTATCTCCGAGCAAAGCAAATTAGGGGTCCGCAGGAATTTTGTTTTGGGAAATGATACGAGTTTTCCGATTTTTTTGGACATCTGAAAAACTTGATTTTCTTCAAATATCACCTGGAATGAACATAATGAACTCTTCAATAACCACCTTGTAGAGCTTGCTTTGCTCTATCATATGGTACCCCATGCTTTTCGTTTAGTTTGTACCCTGCTTCGATAGCACATGATAGCACAAAATGCAAAATGGTTTTCATTTCAGACCTAATATTATTGCTTGCGATCTGCATGGGATGAAGGCATTTCCTGGTGGTGTCTATGATACGTTTGCTACCACGTAGGCATTGAAGACATTCAGTAGTACATTTGATCTCAGCTTACCTTTGTGATAAAAATGAAATGCGTAATAGCAGACTTTTTTTCAGTTGCTGCAAAAATTTGCACAGAAAATCTAATAAATTATGGTTTGAAATTTATTTCAGAACTCAATTCATTTCGTTTAATACCTTTATGTATTAGATTGGCTAAAAAAGTTCGGTGGTTTTTAGCGGTGTGTAGAAATGTTATAAATTATTTTCCGTGTGACTTTTTGGTACCCTTGGAAGAGCAAATCAAGGAAAAACGAAAGATCGACTCTATTTGATCAAAAAATCTTGCTGATAACGAAATGGTGCAGGAAAGAAGGACATATAACTCAAATTTTCGAAAAAGGCCTAGAAATTTCCACATTTTTAGCTGCAGAAATTCACAAGCAGCAGATCACAATCTTCATTGTGGTTCGCTATCTAGCCAAAGGTTGTATGTATCCAATCACCAAATTGCTGGCCTTTGCGCTCACTACAGGCTGACGAAACTTAGATAGTCAAAAAAGCGATTCTTTAGAAGTCTGACCATATAGGGTCATAACCGTCATTTCCTGGTGACATTAAATCTTGACTACTTGATGAGTATACCTTGAAGTTGTCTTCTCACAATCAATCCCAGCTGAGAAGCTACTACTTGATTTGTTATAGACCAGTGAATTTGTATGTTTAAGCGAACTTCTTTATTAGCCATCCCAATAGCTTTAAGCTTGTGTATCCTAATAGAAAGTATGAGAAGCCCACAAAAAAGAATCTTCACGAAGAGAAAGCGCAAAAAGAAAACCAAGCAATGCAATGTTGCGTGATGAAGAAACTGGACAGATATCACGTAATAAGCGCTATTATACATGCTTACAGACAAGTTTGACACAGACTACAAACGGGTTCTGTAATGCTAATAAGCCAGTAGTAACAATACAAGGCGGAGTTCAGAGTTTAGCACATATTCCGCATCAGTGATTTGTCGAAGTTTAAGAAAGGGTAGTAAAAGTATGGTCACACTAATTGGTGGAACAATGGCCAAATTGCACATGCACTGACACCGGTCATAAATACTGCTGTCGATGTCCGATCGCTAGTCATTGTTGTTGTTTTGTTGACATACTCAAGAAATCGCAATCAAATGTCGGTTCACGAGCACTTTTCTTTGTTTTCATTTACAGAAGCGTAAGTAAATCTGGTGAGCATTATATGTCAGCCAATTGTTGTCTACAACAATTAGTGCGTGGCAAATTGGGACCACTTATCTACGAAATCAAGGACATGTTCTGCTGATGTCCCAGAATCAGCATTATCAAAGCGCAAGCGGCAAGGAGACAACGGTTAGTTGAAGTGCCCTTCCGAGATCAGGGGCGGTTCGTATCAATCGCCCATCCGGGTAAGGGTACCCATTCAAGTAGCATCCGCTCATAGCTCGGTGCTCTGGGCAGCTGTGTTCTTCCTTGTTTGTCCATATTTTGGAGGTCCTACTACTATAGTAAGCATAAGATCTGGCTCATTTTCAAAATCATTTATCTTCGCAAAAACTCAATTAAAACTTCGTAAAGTTATGCTGTTTAACTATTATGATCGTGCTAGGCACTTTTGTGGAAGTGATACGTAAAAACTCAAGTTGACGAAATCTCTGATGAACCTCTGCTCGCGAGTTGGAGTTTATCGAACAACTCAAAACTTCCACATTTCATTGTATTACTGGACTCATATCCACGAAAGTCCATAATGGAGGAAAATGGACTTACTTAGTCCATTTTATTCGTTTGCGTTAGAAAGTGGTCGAAATCGGCTCCCGCTTACGATATCCAAAATTTTTCATCCCATCGCAACCGCGAGGCAAAGCGGTGAAATGAAAATGATTCAAGCTTACTTGAGCTATCGCTCGCGGAAGATGACGTCAAAAGTCCATTTTAGAATGGGGCAAAATGGGGTTCACCTCCATGTTCATTCTCTCTCACCTTTCTGATAAGCCCATTTTACTCCCAGCAGCCAGATGTGCTGGGACTAAGCCCATTTTTGACCTTCTTGCATATTTTTGATTGCGATTTTTTGAGAATATGTTCCCTAGCCCATTCTAAGATACTAAGCAAACGGAGAAAGTTTTATCTTCTTTAGGAGGGCCAAAAAACTATCTATTTCAAACAGCCTTGAAATGCTTTGAAAATCATAGAAAATTTTTTTTCGTAGACAGTTGAGACAGACAGACAGACAGACACAAAGACAGCAATTCAAAATTCGCGATTAGCAAGAAGTACTGAAGTACCGCTACCAAGTCAGAATATTCTGTGAAAAATTTCTTAATAGCCATAGTCTATACATTAGTCACTTCTTGCTCTCGCATGGAAATATAAAAAATCGCGATTTACCAAAATTAAACAAGTCATTTTATAGAGAAAATCTTCTCGATACGTCATTTTGTCACCGAAAACACTTTTCAATACCCAAAACGTCGAAGCGAATTCTGTTTTATTTTCGATATAGAGCATCACATTAGGGTTGAGAAAAAAGGTTATCTGATTGATACTGGATTATGTGAGAGCTTTTCCAACAACCGGTTAATTTGAATTTTGTTCAAAATCTAATAAGGTTGCCAATAGCAAAAGGCATTGGTTCAAGCATTCCCTATATGCTGAGAGGATATAAGTCCGCTTTGCTTCAGTTGTTCGTAGCACTTTCCCTAAGCAACTTTGATCATCAAAAGCACATATGACTTGGGATTAGAGTATATGCCTAGATAAGTTCTAAACGCAAAATTGAATTCAGTGACTTTGTCATCATTCTAGTATCCACCCCTCAAACTCACACAGTTGATGCAAGAAAAACAGCTACATATATCAAACGCCATATTTGCATGAAAGTTTTGGGGTTGCTAAAGTACAGCATGAGAAGCCATCAATTTTTTTGCAGATCCAAAGTTTTTCCAGCTCAAAAGCCTTTGTGTTGTAGTGTACAAGGTTGTTGTACAAGGTTTTCTTTGAGATAAGCATTTTGATTCACAAATTGCAATGCAAGTCTATCCAAAGTTTGCTTTATGCTGGAAACTCCACATACGAATTTGATTCAATGCAGATTCATAGAAGTTTTGAAGAGCCCTGATATTATTTGGATTTTAGATGGACTGAAACTAATTTAGATGCATAGTCATAGTTAATAAATGGCATTCTATGAGGTGTAATGAAATGGAAAAGAACGGAGTATCCACGTGACTGATATAGTAAAGTTAGATCAGCCTAGATATCGACCACTTGGTGGGAATGAGTTTGCAAGAGTGAGTAAACAGGTTGAGGCAAGTTGAAGAAGGGTTTGCTGAAGCATTTTTGTATGGAATGAATGGATTCGCGAACGCGATATCTTATCGCACCGCAGGAATTAAGCCCATTTTATTCGCGTTTCACTCGCGAAAAGCCCATTTTTAAATGGACTTTCGTGGATATCATTCCTGCTGGAAACATGCTTAGCAGTCATAATAAGTCTTCAGCAGAACATTGCGTCGTTTCCATTGAGTTTTTGCGATGCTAAGTAGCTTTGAAAATGAGCCCTGATCTTCTGAGGAACCCTTTCGCGATCCTGCAATATAGCGAAATTCTCAGCTTATACAGCAAAGTGTTGCTATTCATTATGCTACATTATTGGGGTAGTACAGCCTCCAAAAAATGGACAAACAAGGAGGAACAGATATCCCCAGAGCACCGAGCTATGAAGCGGATACTGGCTAAATGGGAACCCTTTCCCGGACGGGCGCCCCTTACCCATACTGCCCCAGATGCGTACTGTTTTAGAGCAGAGGCGGTTTTAGGATTTTTGTACAGAGGGGGGGGGGAGGCAACAAAATTGTTCTTCGAATGAAGCTGCTTGGCTTTAACCAAACACTTTAAAAATCTGGGATTTTTACTGGCCCTTGCTTTTGATGAAGGGGGGTGGATGCACACACACCCATGAGAAAATTTGGCTAAGCTATCAAGAATTTTTTGAAATAATCTCAATTATTCACAAGTACAAATAAGTCAATTGCATAATTTATAGCTCATGTAAGTTACACTCAATTCCGCAATCCATTCTCTTTCGGGTGGGGGGGGGGGGGAAGGGAGGGAGGGGCGCGAAATTCAAGTTATACACAAGATTCCCTCCTTTTCAGCAGTCGTGTTTTGATTTCTGATCAATAATCGTCGAATTTTGAACTCATGATTTTTGCAACGTCCAAATTTAGCAACTTTTTGAAATTTCCATTTTCCTTGGGCAGCTTCGTTCAAAGAAGGAGAGTAAACAAAGTACCATACAATGCTTCTGGTACCCGTGACTGGCTTTTTGTGAAATTACTTTTTGATGCTACTAAATTCCAGCAGTTATCCTAGACCTCATAAAACAACGATCATCATAGTTTGTCCGACACTTTTACGCCTCTTTCTGTATTTTTTGTCTCAATTGTGAAAACTTCGATAATTCATCATAACTCTAGTTTTGGAACGCGCTCCCGATTGTAGACTGGGAATGCGAACGTAAACGCTCATTTGCTTGTAAAATTAGTGTTTGATTATAATTATTTTCAGAGTTTCAAGTTTGATTAGGATTTAAATGTTTGCGTATTTCGCAAAAGGTAAGTTTCGGAAAAATTACTTTGAAAAATATTGAGAAGCGGAGCTTATGTAATTAATTGTGCACTTTGTACACTTTATCCATATTCTATTAGAGCTCTTCCAAAAGCTGGAAATGAAAATTTCTGCAAATTGCTAAGCTGAACATGGTAAAAACCGTAGGTTCGAATTGGCGATTACTTCAGTATCCATGGAAAGCTAGGGAAAAGGTGAATGCTAAAAAGAAGCAAATGAATGTCTTTATCTCAAGAGTCTTTATAATAGGTAAAAAAGCGAAAGAAGTTTGGTCCTAACCTTTTATGTACACTACTGCAAGCAATTTATGGAAAGAAACAAGCATAAGCATTAGCGCTGTGATGATGCACTACAACCCTAAACGAATTGAGTTTCGATTGATCTGAGGTTTTTAGCTACGTTATGCAGAGAGTTTTTGAAAGGGCGCAGCTCAGTTTCGTGTAGATAGAGGGCTCCAACAAACATTATCTGACAGCTTCTCTATGCTAGTGAATGTTACAAAACCTTGTGGTGTGAGGTAAAAATGGCTAACAGATTTTAGAAAAGTCTATTTAGCTGGCATCTATCTACCGTAGCAAAAAACTATGAAGCTTTTTTGCACGTTAGATGTGAAATTCGTAATCAGCAGGTGAGATGATTTTCAGGGCAAAGTTTCAAAAAATAAAACGATTCATATGCTTTTCTCGTTCCTTGCTTTCGAAACCAGTAGGCTTTGCTGGAATATAATCTTGAAAAAACTAAAAACTTCACTCTTGAGGGTTTCGGACCCGCTGTTTGCGAAAATTCTAGCGATATTGCTTCAGGGTCTAAGGTAGGGATGTCATCTGCTGAAGAGCTCGCTTGCAGAGTTCTATAGGTTGGGGCCTCTGCGAACAGCGCTATCGGGTCATGCTCAAAGGGCCCTTATCTGTGGTGTTCGCCGGATTATGATCTTTTTTTACCTTTTGACGGATTTTGGCGTCCTTGTTCATGTCTTGCACGAGTAAAATGAAATTAAAAGGCGGTAATCGCGGGTGTGAAGGTTTTTCCTCGCAGACTATGACCTTGTGATGTATACAAATTTCATGTTACCAACTACAATTATGGGTTTTTTTTCTTAGTCTGTGTTCGACTTTGTCTGCTTCTCATCTTAGAGATCTATCACTTTCCTTTGTAAATTACACGAAAAAATCAAATTATTTACTGAGTTTTGTATTTGTTTCATACAATATCACGACATCGTATCAGAACTGCCACTTGAAACAAGGAGGCTCCTCTTTGATGGCAAAAACGGTAGTTTACACAGACGAGGATATTTTAGGAGCAGTCTGAAAACAAAGCAAAACTGCTGGTAATTTTTTTTTACCAAGAGAGCAAAAACTTACTTCTGCAGTAACATAGGTAGCGCATATCCATCATCTGCAGCAGCTATGCTTGCATCTGAATCCTTTACAGCAAATCCCCTTTGCTCTCTTGTAGCGCCTAAAAACTTGGTAAAAGTTGTCGGAAAGTAGTCTCCATTCATAGAATGTCGGAAAGTTGTGCTTTCATAGGAGATTGCTCACCTGGTACTGTATTATCCAGTATAAAGCCGACGAGTGCTGCAATGAGCATCCGAATGCTTAACAGCATATTCAAACAATCATCCAGGGTCTTCACTCCTGAAATGGTTGAGAGGTCATTTTCCAGATTCTGCATACGAATTGCATCTCACCGAAATTAACTTTATTGTTCTCAAAGTGATGGGGAACTAGTGCTCCCATCAAAATTGCTGTTCCCATGATTGTGAGGTTACGTGTTAATCGCAGATCGACATTCTTAAAGTTGTTGTATCACACCGTCTCGATAACGGTGTATAGAAATGGCAGAACCGACCTGCAGATTACCCATTGCCACACCGCATATCATAGCGATGCCCATGGCAAGTATGCCTCCAATCACTGCGTCTGGTATCGAAGCTAACACTGCAGCACATTTGGTGAAAAGCCCGGTCAGGATGAGCAGCACGGCAGCAATTTGCATTGTGGAGCGGCTGACTACCTGGGTATAATATTTTGAGCCACAATTCTAGATTGAGTGAGAGTCGTCTTAGACTAAGTGCCGCAAGAGTCTTGCGGGACTCAGAACTACGGGACTAAAAAGGCAGTCTTGCACGAGAATTCGACTTGTCCCGAACTCTTAGGGCGCGGCACACATGCGGTTTCATCTTCCCGCTTTAAGGTCGGGACAAAGTCGGGTTCTCGCGCAAAACTACTTTTTCGCGATTTTCATTTTGTGAGTGGACTCTTGCGGGACTAACCACGACTGTTTGAGGTAGAATTCTATAGCAACTACGCAAACTCGCACAATAACATATACAAGCTTCCGTAAGGGGCCCATGTATTGAAGCAATTAATTCTTACGCAAAATGATTTTCACAGCTTCATTTGCTAAATTTGAAACACATGTGGCCTGCAAGTTTCCACTCTTCGTAGTCACTACCCATAAATGGATGCAAAACCACTTTGAGCTTTCAGACACTGCTTTACTTGTACGACACGCTAAAGCAAGCATCACTGACTGATTGCGCCCTGTCTTGATCTATTATCTTATTCAAAAAGAAAGGTAAGATATGAAAGTGTGTGAGAAAAGGAAGGAAGGAAAGGAAGGAAATACAGGAGTGGTAAAATAAATAGCATTTCTTCAAGAATCACAAGCTGCCAAGTTACTACGAGTTCAAACAGAATGTGACATTATAAGTTCAGGCAAATCAGTGCTATATCCACTTTACATTGGGTAGCTTAAAAAAGAAAGTCCATAGCAAAGAAACCAGCAGAATAAAAAATTGCTGAAACTGCAGCATAGAAACATCACAGATTTGCACATATGCTTATTACAAGCAGCGGAAAGGATTACTTATTGAACAAAATCTGAGCGACGACTTATCGGTCAAGCTAGGATAATTGGTCGAAGTGGCCCTACCACCTGAAATGCATATAGTTTTGAAGGGCATTTAATGCTGAGTTAAAACTGTTTCCCTTATTTGCGGAGGGCCTCTGAATGTGGAGTTGCGAGCGTTCGATGAGATTAAAAACTGAACGCTTGTTTGGATTATTAATGTTAACAGCCTTTGCAAATCGTAGATGAGATGGAGTAATGGCAAGCACTGGGGTAGCAAAGAGGAAATTGCCTCTTCATAGAAAGGTTCAACGATCACAGTGTATTTGAGTAACTACGCATTTCATTTTCACTACAAAAGCTGTCACAACTCCTTGTCCAGAGGCTCCACAGATAAGGAAGACAGATTTGGAATCAGGGTTCGATGTCCTTCAAGAAGGTATGCACTCCCTATGGAAAGGACGTTTCGGCTAAGGATCCTTCTCCTGTGAGGCACCAGCATCTAGGGTAGTATTGTAGCCGGTAGTCAAACAGGGTCTTGCCCAGGCCATATTGTGATTTCCTGTTTGTACTTTGAAAATGCCTAGAGAATTCTAAATCATCACGATAGTTCTAACAAGGGAGGACCCGAAATCAAAATCGGCTTTCCACATGAGTTGTATACCAATCTGAAGAGCGACGCAGTTTCCAAATTTTTATCTGCCAAGCGCCTCTAAAGTGCGGTTCATAATTATACGAACACCCCGAATTTTGGGAGTTCCTGGACTTTTTGGAAGAAACTCAAAATGTCGTCGGTACCACGCGAAAGAGCACAGCCGAAAACGGTATATGATCCATAAGAATGATAATCGATGTCAATTTTAGGAGTGTTTTTGCGCCTAATGCGAATTTTGAGCGGTTCATAATTATACGAACACCTCAAACAAAGGTCCATTTTTCATTCAAGACTGCAATCTTTCGAGTCCAAATTTTTTGTGGGGTTACAGTAACAAAGTGTGAAATGCCTGCTACACACTGAACCCAGTGCAGTTCAAAAAGAGAAGCGTTGCTTATCCCAGATGGCTCTAAATGCTTTTGGAGTCACTGCGCTCCAAAAACGTCTGTTTTTCTATGGTTTACGCGCTCTTATTAGCTTCTACCAAAGCTATGAGATAAAATAAACTTTTTCGATAAATATTTTGTTCGACGCTTGGAAAATCTTTGCGTTTTCGTGCCGTTTTTCGAATAAGTTCCATCTTTACCGTAGAGTTAGCGCAATTTCGAGCCTCAAAACTCAGCTTCTGTCTCGCGCAAACATCTGATATGAAGCAGCTGCATTGCTTGCACGATGGTGTATCCGTGCCAAAGTTTTTGGGCTTTTTGCAGAACTATCCTTGAACTACGGAGCAAATAACCAGATAGAGGGGTGATTGCAATAGTAAAAACAGTGGATTTGGTGAAATGACGCCTGCGTGGCCAGAACAAGTGCTCAACATTGCTGATTTTTTTCTGGCTAACTACCAGTCTTGTGAACTTCTGCATATTATGTGCTTACTTCATTTAGGACTTTAGAAGCTGAGTTTTGAGGCTCGAAATTGCGCTAACTCTACGGTAAAGATGGAACTTATTCGAAAAACGGCACGAAAACGCAAAGATTTTCCAAGCGTCGAACAAAATATTTATCGAAAAAGTTTATTTTATCTCATAGCTTTGGTAGAAGCTAATAAGAGCGCGTAAACCATAGAAAAACAGACGTTTTTGAAGCGCAGTGACTCCAAAAGCATTTAGAGCCATCTGGGATAAGCAACGCTTCTCTTTTTGAATTGCACTGGGTTCAGTGTGTAGCAGGCATTTCACACTTTGTTACTGTAACCCCACAAAAAATTTGGACTCGAAAGATTGCAGTCTTGAATGAAAAATGGACCTCTGTTTGAGGTGTTCGTATAATTATGAACCGCTCAAAATTCGCATTAGGCGCAAAAACACTCCTAAAATTGACATCGATTATCATTCTTATGGATCATATACCGTTTTCGGCTGTGCTCTTTCGCGTGGTAGCGACGACATTTTGAGTTTCTTCCAAAAAGTCCAGGAACTCCCGAAATTCAGGGTGTTCGTATAATTATGAACCGCACTTTAGACGCTGAGTTATGAGCATTTTTCAGTTCAAAGTTGGACGTGCAACTGGTATAAATTCGTCTAAAGTTGCGCAAATGGCCCAGCTTTGGGTATCAGAGCACTCTAGCACGGAAGACCTTTTGTCTTATATACTCTTGGAATCAATGTTTGATGCTCTTCAAACTGATATATTTCAATTGGAAAGCAGTTCATAAACCCATCCGCTTTCAAAGGACTGGGCATACCTACGCGATTTCAGTTGCGACGCGGTTTGGCAACATTCCAATTGTCCATAACTCGCTGTAAGATTTTCTGAATGTATGGATAGGGCATTTTATCAATCCACGTAAGTTATGCACACTATGTATGTGCAGTTTGCTAGTTTGGATCTAAAGACTTTTGGCGAATTGCCAAGTTGCGTTGCGACTCAAATCGCGTCAAGTATGCCTAGCCCCTAAGAAACTAAGTTTTTACGTGCCCTAGACATCTTTTTATCCAACTATACGAATAGGTGAAACAGTAACCAATTTCACCAGGGACAAGAACTCATAGCATTTATGTTGTAGGGTAATGGTCAGGACTAGCATGAACAACACTATTCCAACCACACAATAACTATCAGCAACACTATCAAACTACTTGACTAGCTCCAAAAGTTGCGCTAACACATCATTTGAATTCCAATTAACCTCACATGCCGAGACAGTGTGTTTTCAACTCTTCAGGCTCCCGATTACTATCTATTCGCGGCACCAATGAATTCCTATCAAACGCAGTCATCATGGGACAAACTCACCCTGGTTACGTTCATCAGGGCGATGCACTCAGCATAGGCAGTGATGCCAGTACCAAGCCCAACCGAAGCACCTATTAGACTGCCGATTCCTGAGGTGTGTTGTTCACAAAAAATTTGCAGAGTGTAACCTGAACATTACCTTCAACAATAATTGCGCGATTTACTGAGGAGGACGGAGGGGATCGTTGATGAGATATCTGAAATTATTAGACATGTTTTGTAAAAATAAAATCCTTTAAAGCATACCTTGGCACATGTTTTGTAGTCACCAATACTTTCCATCATGCATGCAATGCATGATGCTACGAATCCTAACGTGAGTCCCACTGATACTTGTGGCAGGCCAAATTGTCCTGAACATGTTAGACAAATTTCAAAATTCGACTGCTGCAAAAGCGTAGGTGGAAAGAGTTAGCAAGGCCCTGTTCCATGTTTGATTGTCACAAGAGGCTCAGTTATCTGAATTTTACGCTCTATTGAACGGTGAAGAGTGTTCTTGTTAGCATTTCACTGACTGCTTCGGCTGACTATAATGTGTTGATCTTTGCTAGGAATTGCAACAAAGCAGTTTTTGCGTAATACCTTCATGTGCAAGCTCTGTGATTTCGATAATTGCTTTAGCAGGGTACTGTTTCATAACAGAGAATTCAGCTTATATAATTTTGGCGCAATAGTCTACTGAACCATTCTCGCATTTTATGCTTAAGAGAACAAGGATTCCAAAATGTGCATTATCTTTAACTTCCAGCCGAGAAAAACGTGAGCTTTTGCCACACACTATTAATCAACTCAAACTTGCCTATTCTGGAATATTCTCTCTACTCCTGCTGAAATTACTCTCAACGTTCTATCCTAGAATTCGTTGGTTACGGGATAAATACTACCACTGTTTTCGAGGACGCAAAGAATTGCAGCAGAGTTTTCGCTATTGGCTTATTCATCAGAATGGAATTTATCAATGTAATAGTTAAGCATACCTAGTGACGGTTTTGCATGCTCCATTTTTACATGCCATTCCGGTTATTAGCAATCCGATATTTCACTATCCGAAATGCAAAACATCAAATTGTTTACAAGCAGCAGCTTATGGAAGTCGATTAATTTGAAATTCATGTTTTTCAAAAATGGGGAATTCCGTAAATTTATTTTCTGTGGGAACTATGTAGAAAACAGCTTATTTCTGCTTAACTGAATGTTTAATCGTGAAGAGAGTTAACTTCTCAAGAGAAGCAAACCCACTTAGTCCTCACAAAACCTAATTTTTCATAGCGATGTTTAGGATAGGTACATGTAACTTTTCCTATGCATATCCTGAGCTTGGCACTCATTGAGTAAGCAGGTAATTTCGTTTACCTGGATAGGGTACCTGAAACCATGGAGAATGTTTGAGGACAGCCACAGTTTGATTTCTGTCCGTTCTTGCAACTCCGCCTTCTGGTTCCGCACCAGTAGTCGTGAGAAGGAAACAAATAAGCCATGATGTCGCTATTGCTATCAAGTACTGAAGTACAATCAAAGTGCACAGATATATGCAGAACGAGAATTCAACTTACGGGGAACTGACCGAATATTCTTGATCTTGCCATTTTCCAAGACCTCTCAGAAAAAGAAAAGTAAGGAAATGGAACGTAAAAGTTCTCAAGGAAAATGCCCATAACAATAAGAATTCCAAAAGTCCTAAATGCTGCTGTTAGGTTTGCCCTCATTAATGAGATTGCTCACACTATCGAGATCCAATGAAGACTCATCTTTTCGTGCATTGTTGGCACAATTCCAAGGCATAGCCATATGAGAAGTGGTGTTATGGTGACCGGCCCGACAAGTTTGGCAAACAGCCCCACTAAACCGGTTGACCCCACAATAAAGAATGTCAGCGAAGCAATAAGTAAGCTGCCTTGAATCTGAATTTGGACACCTCTTCGGTTCCAATATCGTTGCCAAATCCATTACCTGCAGAAGTTTCGCTGTGTACTCTTCTTCAGGTACTGCGGTTGATAAATTTGCAAGACATTTGTTCTCTGGCATGGCTGCAAAAGCAAAAAGCGGAGGCAAGAATGCGTACGATGGTCCTTGCAAAACGCATAATCTAAACATTCATTTTTCATTAAGCATCCTCTTTATAATAAGACATTTTGTATTCGAACTGAAAAGCTCACTAGTGACCTACTCAGATAATCGCCGGGGGCAGGCGGTCCACAAACTCGCGCTTTTCTGCAGGCGGTCAGCAGAATTTTGGGGCGTGGCCAAACCTTCAGCGGGCGGCACTTCCTTTACGGTCGCATATTCTGCCAGCGGGCAGCAATACAGCATTTTTTGCAAGCGCTCGGCAAATAATTTCTTTCAGCGAGCGCTGGCCAAACTTTCAGCAAGCGCTCGGACTCTTTTTAGGCATTTTCGGGCGTACGTCGAGCGCAGGTAAGACTCTGTGTGGCAGAGGTGTCACCGTTGGTTTAATTACTCAAGTTTGAGGTACTTTCTCTCAGCGGAAAGTACCTGGGGGTTGCGCGGTCCTCCACAAAGGACCGTGCGGCTCGAAATTTTTGCATATTCTCGCGGAAAGTCCGCGAGAATGCGGCCAATGCGCCGCAGCTAATCCATAAAGAAACCGCGATTGTTCTTCAAGCATTCGTCTTTAATTTCGCCAACTTTCTTCCAAATTTCTGCAAGCGGGCCGCAAAAAATCAACGAACTATTTTTCCGGTGCGCGCTTGCTCAAAATTCGCATGGCCGCCTGCCCCCTGCGGTTATCTGACAAGGGAAGGAAGGTGGGTCGAAGTGGCATTTCAGAATGAGATGGGTATCATCTTGTAGGGCTTCGAACGCTGATTTCAAATCTGCCTTCCTTATCTGCGGCGCGTTTTTGGGTGAGGAGTTATGAGGCTTTTTAAAGGGCTGAAGTCGATGCAAGTACAATCAAGGATAGCACACCGCTGTGTGCCGTCTGATGTAGCGGTTAGTGTGGTGGTCTTGCAAGCAGAGGCTCCCAGGTTCGAATCTCCTGCTGTTGTTTTCGTTTTGCTGGTCTACAAAAAATTTGTATGAGTATGAGCAGCGTCCATACACCACCCCCTGTTTCTTTTATCAAAATCTCAAGGCAACAACTGCTCTCTCTGAAGGTGTTTGCAAGTGATTCAAAATGGAGGTAGAAATGTCAAAAGAATCAATTTGTCACATAACACCCCGGTAAACGTGAGAGGCCATAATGTTCTCAACATGCAAAGACCCACGTTCATAGTTGGTAAAGCTGAAAAAACGCACGTACAAGTTACGCAATCAAAAACTCATTAACCTACAAGATATTCTCGCCTGTTCTCTTGGCTTATTCCTGGTACGCCAGCGGCTATTTTGACGCACATTCGAGAGATTTTTAGACGCCCGCCTGCCCGCTCGCAAGTATGTTTTGCACATTTTGTCCTCTCCTTTCATCAGTGCACGTAGACGTTTGAAAACATAGAGTAATAGGACTTTTTTGAAGAGATTTGCAGTTAAAAGAAAGAAGAGTTGATGTATAGACGATACGCGTGCTCATACAAGTTTTTTGTAGACCAGCAAAACGAAAACCACAGCAGGAGGTTCGAACCTGGGAGCCTCTGCTTGTAAGACCACCACACTAACCACTATACCAGACGGCACACAGCGGTGTGCTGTCTTTGATTGTACTTGCATCGACTTCCACCCTTTAAAAAGCCTCATAACTCCTCACCCAAAAAAGCGCCGCAGATAAGGAAGGCTGATTTGAAATCAGCGTTCGAAATCCTACAAGATGATACCCATCTCATTCTGAAAGGCCACTTCGACCCACCTTCCTTCCCTTGTGAGTAGTGCACACCCTCTCAGACAATCGCTGGGGGCAGGCGGGCACCGGAAAAAAAGATTGCTGATTTCTCGCACCCCGCTCGCGGATTTTTTGCAAAGCAATCACGACTTTTCGGAAGACCGCTTGCTGAGTCAGCGGATTTTTGAGAGACCGCCTGTTAAATTTTTTTCGCTCTTATCTTTTGCAGATATATTGCTGAATCTCTGAGGAATCGAGAACTCAGCAAGCGGTCCTCCGAAAAGTCCTGATTGCTTTCCAAAAAATCCGCGAGCTGGGTGCGAGAGATCAGCAATCTATTTTTCCGGTGCCCGCCTGCCCCCGACGATTGTCTGAGCTCCTATACTCCGTCTCACTAGGCATCGTTGGACTGAAATTATGCTCCCGCAGCGTTAAGGATTTGCGCTGCATGTCTAACAAGGGAAGCTTGTTTAGTCGAAGTGGCCTTTCCAAATGAGATGTATACCATATTAAAGCGCATAAAACGCTGATTCCAAAACTGTCTTCCTTATCTGCAGAACGTTTATGGACGAGAAATTATGAGCGTTTTTTGGAGCCAAAAATTGAATGTGCATTTTGAATAAAAGGAGTTGTTAGAATCTTACTAACCTTCAAATAACGTAACCAAGTGTGGTATAATTTTTATTTTAGAGTAATTTTCAAGTGAAGTGTTTTGGTGATTATCATTGCTCCGTTGAAGAGCTAGAAAAAGTATTACGGTTATTTTTGTCACACTTGCACATTCAATTTTTGACTCCAAAAAACGCTCATAACTTCTCGTCCATAAACGTTCTGCAGATACGGAAGGCAGATTTGGAATCAGCATTTTATGCTCTACAATATGGTGTACATCCCATCAAAAAAGGCCACTTCGACTAAACAAGCATTCCTTGTAAGACCGTCCGATCAAATTTTTATACTATTTCCTTGCCATTTTTAAGGATGGCGCACTATGTTAACTGGGGTCGGCGTGGCCTATGAGCGGGCTGAATATCTTTTTGGGACAAAAAGCAAAGGGTAATCGTCTTTGCGATCTGAAAGAACAAAAGTTTTAGGTTTCTTAGTCGACGTTCGGAAAGCCACCGCGCCAAGCCCTGTATGAATGCTAAAGATCCAACATATTTGCTCATGTTTTAAGAACAAGCCTGGAGCTCGTAGATGAAATAAGTTCAATCTTTAACCAAACCAAATTGCTCCGTTCATTTCATCATCGTCTTTCTCAAACAAACTCGTCTACTTTTGATGCCTTGCAACTTTAGCAGATACGCGGATATTACGCGGATAGCAGATATTTCACCTTCATCAGTTGAAGGAGAAGATAACCATTCCAATAGCAAATTCTAGGTAAACAATTTGCTTTTGTGAAGACTACAACAAATTAAAAGCTCGCAACTAGATCACAATACTGACAAGCTCTTGGTTATGCTACAGCTGAGGAGGTGAATTTGTAGGACATGGCATCTAGAGATTCGCTCGCGAAGCCAAAATTTTCTGCTCAAACCAGAGTATCAAGAAGTAGGAACCAACGTTGTAGAACATCAATGCAGTGAATGAATAGGCCGTGATTTGAAGATGTGAGCAAGAGTCATTGAGCTCAGATCATTTTCTGCATTTTCTCAGGATACGACAACGTCTTGAAAGCAAATCACACGAAAGGCTCTTGTTGATACCTGAATCCCAGCGTTGTCTGAATAAGTGTCACGACTCCGGCTGAGAAGAATGAGGTAGCTATGAGACGAACTCTGAAATTTGTTTCGTTTCAGAAGTCAGACCAGAAGGATTACGCACCTCAACTCGATTGTTGAAGAGCCGGCGCATACCACATTAGATTGAAGAAATGGAATCACAAGAAGTCCAGATAGACTCAATAGCATTTGCTGAAATATTGCTAGGATAGCTTGGGCAGAAAAGTAAATTTCCGCCGCCTTCTGCCTCTGCGCCAACAATAAGATAAAACTCCTCGCCTTTTTGGCGGAATGAAGGTGAATGTAAACTACAAGACTATGACCCCTGAGGTGTTATCCTCAGATCTGCTTTCCTGTCTTCACCCTTTGTGCAACAGATCTGCGATAGTGAGAGCACATTTTCCCCAACTCTGCTTTCAAATTGGATAGGGTGACCACTAACACTTTCGAATCTGATATATGCTTCGAGAACAAGAACGAAAATAAGAAAAAAAATGCAAAACAGATGAAAGAGCACGATTTCAAGCAATTTATTTTTGAAATGTCGGCAGCGAGTAATCGAAGGCCATCACAGCTATAAAAGTTATTTACCCTCAGCAATTTCTACGATTTCGGAGAATGAGGATTTTTTCTGACTCAACAAACATTGATCCAACATTTAATCCTCTTTAAGTTCAACAAGTTTTTCTTCTCTAGAAGAGAGCGAGGACGACATCTTGGATCTTGGGCGAGTGCGACACAAAGTTTTGCTGACTGCTTCACTGCTTTTTGAAATGAAAACAAACCTTAAAGGCATTGTCTAGGTCAACTGGGTTGTGGGGTCTTGACGCAGTACGCAAGGCCCATGACTAACGCAACAGTTCAAGTTCGATCGAAAAAGTGGATTCTGAAGCGAGAATCGGTTCGGAAAAAAGGGACAGTACTCCCATTTCCTTGACAAGTTTTGACGTGGCCAATACAGTAAATCTAGCGCATTCACCACATCAAAACGTGACAAGGAGGCGGGAAGTACCGCTCCTTTTTCCGAAGCGATTTTCTCGCTTCAGAATGACCTTTTTCGATTGGACTTGAACGGTTGCGTTAGACATGAGCCTTGCTCTCGCACTGCGTCAAGACCCCATTACTCGCAGCTAAACATGTGGCCGTATTCATCAACGAACCCGAGGGTTAAACTAACCCTGGAGGGTTAGTTTAACCCTGGAAAGCGTTTAACCCGTATTCATGAAACACAGGGTAGGCTTAACCCTAAGGGTTAAATCTAACCTTGAGGGTTAATTTTACCCCGAAAGCGACTAACCCGTATTCATCAACGAACCGTGAGGGTTACTAACCCTGGAGGGTTAAACTTATGTGATTCATCAGGGTTAATTTAACCCTAGCTCAGAGCAAGGTTAAGTCTACCCTAACACTTCATACAAACATTTACTCGCATCTAATAGTCTATGGAAAACAATCAACGAGTATTGTAGTATTTAGTATTGGTTGTTGTTATAGTATTTAGTTTCGACTTATTCGAAGTACATGAA